CCCTCAACCCCATCGGTTCCTCTTTCTGCCCATGGAAGTGCTGCCAAACACCACAAACCCTCCTCCGTGCTCTGGGACACCGGCCACGGCCCTCCCCACGCTGCCCAGCCCCTTCCTTCCTCCCTGCTTGCTCCTTGTGCGGGCAGTTGCGCAAGCGGCTTTCCAAGGAGCCACCGGGAAAGGTAGCGGAGATTGAGGGAGCCCGGGGCAAGTCTGCGTCGGCAAAGGTAGGAAGGAGAAGGGAGCTGAGGGTTGGGATGCTGAGCCTGCACCAGGCGGGAGGTGCTGTGTTGGAAAGGGAGCTCCCAAAGCACGCCCCAAGCCTGTTTAGGGAGGAGGCGTTTATCCCATGCGCAGGGCTCGGTTGGGGCATCGCCACAGCTCAAGCGCCCCTACCAGGATCCTTCATCCACCAAAGCTCCACCTAACGAATCCAATAATCCCGCCTCCCTCATGCATATTCATTGTGCGGAAGGAGCCGGGTTCCCTGCGCCTGCGCCCGAATGTGCTGAGCAAGCAATGTCTTGCGTGCGGGGTCTCGGAGGGTTGTTTGGGGGAGAATACCCCAACAGAGGAGGACATTGAGGACAGTCCTGCTTTATCTTGCCAACCTCTTGACCTCCTCGGTCTAAGGATGCTCTCTTCCTCCTCCTCCTCCTCTGGGGCACTTTGGCCTTGGTTCAGTCCCTGAAAACAAGGCGGTTCTAAACCTCGACAGATATTTACATCGTTTCTTATGGGTTAGATTTTGACCTTCGTGCTGTAAATCAACATCATCCCCCCCTTTGAGACTTGTTTTAATGAACCCTACCTTTTCATAACCTATGATTCGGTTCCAACATTGAAGAATCACACAAACACGATAACTACTACGACTAACAACTTCTTGACCCATACCCCTTTCAGATCACTTCTTCCTGTTCAATAGTCTGTAAAACAATCGTGTTCAGGTTCTGTTTTCCCCGGTATGAGCTGGATTGAAAGCGTTTGTAAGGATTAATTCTATAGCATCTTGTTCTAGCAGCACCACTTGGTGCTTCATCATCCTGCTGGGGGACACCGGTGTCCTGCGTGTGGTACCTTTGCTACCATCTTCTGTCCCCAGATCAGTCTTCAGGCCCCTTGCATAAGGAGAACAGGAGGCAAACCATCCTTTTCTAATTGGATCCCACCTTTTGGGCCAGAACTCCTAAAGCAACCTGTTGCCTTTCATGCATAAAAGGTCCAAAAGGCTCATCCAAGTGAGCAAGTCCCGAAGCTGGCGCTGGCATTAAAACGTGTTGTAACTGCGAGGGAGCCGTTCGACATCCTGAAGCCCATCCCAATGAATCCTCCTTCCCTTTGCCCGCCTCATTCCCGGGTATAGCGCTGAAGTCTGGAATTAACGATCCACAAGCGACACCACCCGGCCGTTCCTAGAAGAGCTCAAGTCTGGCTTTGGCTCTGGGAGCTGCCAAATCGTGTTTCAGTGCTTAAACTCCATTGTCCTTGAGTAATCCCGAGTCCCAAATGAGTTTCCCCAGGCTTGGCGTGTCCAGGGAATGTCCTGGGATGCTGTTGGGCCTGGGAGATGCTTTGGGATGCTGCCGTGCCCACAAGGTGCTTTGGGATGCTGTCCCAGGTACATGGATGCAGAGCTGCTATCCCTGGATACAGAGCCATTATCCCTGGATACAGAGCCATTATCCCTAGATACAGAACCATTATCCCTGGATACAGAGTTGCTATCCCTAGATACAGAACCATTATCCCTGGATGCAGAGCTGATATCCCTACCTACAGAACTATTACCCCTGTATGCAGAGCTCCTATCCCTACGTACAGAACTATTACCCCTGGATGCAGAGCTCCTATCCCTAGGTACAGAACTATTACCTCTGGATGCAGAGCTCCTATCCCAGCTATAGAACTATTACCCCTGCATGCAGAGTTGATATCCCTACGTACAGAACTATTACCCCTGGATGCAGAGCTCCTACCCCTGGATGCAGCTGGCTTCCTGCAAGGATCAGCATAAGAAGTGTGAGGAGGATTTTGCATCCTTTTGCAGCCTCCATGATAACCATGAGCTGTTCCAGCTCCAGATCCTTTGGGGCTCCACTTGCTTGCCTGGAGGCAGAGCGCTGCTGCATTCCCCTTCCCTGGAAAGCCATCATCCAGCGATGCTGCACTGCCTGCTCCTGGCTCTCCTTCCCAGAGCAATGTGGTGGCCCTTGGCCATCACCCAGGCCGGTGATCCACAGGGAAAGGGCTGCAGGAACCCCAACAATCCCTTCTTGGGGCATCTCCCCTTGTGCTTCAGGGCTGATGGAGGATGTCACTTAGGTAACCCATGGTATTTGCTTAAACAGAGGCAAAGCCAGGACACATAGTGACTAAGCAAGACTTGCCCATGGTTAGAGCCTCCCAGGGCTGAGGACCACTGTGCTGCCACAGCAGCATCTCCTGTATCCATGGATTGGCCTTTGCATGGATCCCAATGGGAGAGACTGGGTGCTGGGACAGGGTGGTGAGAGGCAGTACATCAATACTTAGGCTGTACTTTGGTAACTTAGGAAGTAGATTGGTAGCTTGGGCTGTACATCAATATTTAGGCTGTACATTGGTAACTTAGGATGAGCATTGGTACCTTAGACTTTACGTTGATATTAGGCTGTACACTGGTAGCTTGGGCTGTACACTGGTAATTAATTTGGGCTGTTCATCAATATTTAGGCTGTACATTGATACTCAGGCTGTACATGGTAACTTCGGCTGTACATTGGTAATTCGGGCTGTACACTGGTAATTTGGGCTGTACATCAATATTTAGGCTGTATATCGATATTTAGGCTGTACATTGGTAACTTGGGCTATACATTGGTAAGGGGCTATACATTGGTAATTTGGGCTGTACATTGGTAATTCAGGCTGTACACTGGTAATTTGGGCTGTACATTGGTGATTTGGGCTGTACATTGGTAATTTGGGCTGTACCTTGATAACTTGGGCTGTACATTGGTAATTCAGGCTGTACATTGATAACTTGAGCTGTACCTTGGTAATTCAGGCTGTACATTGATAACCTGGGCTGTACATTGGTAACTTGGGCTGTACCTTGGTAATTCAGGCTGTACATCATTGCCTACCCCTGAGCCCCCCAGGCTGGGGCAGGAGGTGACCCCAAAGCTGCAGCTCACCCCATGCATGGGAACCGCTGCAGGTCTCAATGTGAGCAGCTCAGGGTCCTCTCTGTGTCTGCTGGCTGTGCTGGGCAGCACTTGGCAGCCAGTGCCAGCGGTGCCACTGATGCAGTGAGGTTATCTGCTCATGCCTGCTGTGCTGGTGCCAAGCTGGAAAACAGCACTGGAGGCATTTCCTTAATTGCTCATCAAGTGGAAGCAGGATCTGCCTTTGAGTTCCTCCTGTATCTTCCCACCCCAGCGCCCTGCAGGGCAGGAGCTCTGCTGCCGCCGCTGTGTGCTTCAATCCTGCTGATCCCGTTCCTGCTGCCGCTCAATCCCATTCCTGCAGGCATCAGCCGCTGCTCCAGCCAGTTTCCGCGGGCGGGAGGGATTTGGGCTCCCGTTCCTGGTGGGAATGGGGAGCGGGAGCGGATGCTGCAGTGTGCGGAGCTGCCCTTATGTAAAATTCATCTGCAGAAAGCAGCTCTGCAGATGGCAGGAAGCCGCTGCTCATTTCTGCTCGCAGCAGATGGAGGCGGCAGGATGCGGAGCTTCTGCTTTTGCTTCAGCCTCTGGGGTTCCCCTTTGCCCCCTCTTGCGCAGCATCCTCAGCAGCCGAGGGGTGACTGGGGAGGTGGTGGTGCCTTTGCAAGCGTTGTGTAAGGGGACAAGGGCTCTTCTTTGGCAGAAGGGCAGCGAGAGGGTGCAGCAATGACGCACGTGTTTAATAAGGACACCAACAGATGGAAGCTCGCAGGAAAGGCTCCCTGTAGGGGATGAGGAATGAGCCCTTTGAAGCATCTGCTGGAGGCTGGTGCTGGAGGTGGCCGGACCAGCTGGACGGGTCCGGTTTGACCCTCAGGCCTCTCTGCCCATGCGAATGCATTCCTGGGCTGGGAGCTGGTGGATGATTCACTAGGAAGCGGTCTGAGCCTGCCATGGGAGTACACGGGGCGGTTACCGACGGCCAACAGCGCCTCTGCACAACGGGACAGGCTGGTTTGGCAGCACAGCAGCCATGGGATGAGGTGGGAGGGCTGCGGGGAGCTGCAGCTCCGTTGCCAAAGCCCTGGACATTCCTTTGGATGCATCAGGAACGTTCTGCTGCGCTCTGTGGGAGATAACGAATGTGGGAGCCGTCCTTAAGGGGAAGATTCCCATGGGAGGCCCTCAGGGGTGTTCGTTCCTGCAGGGAACGCCGATAGTTAAATACAGAAAGAAACCTGCATCAGCCAGGGCTGCCGAGGCCGGCATTTCCTTGGAAAATGGAAGGAAGGGGCAGGTGTTTCCCTGAATCCTAGGGAAGGATCCGCTGCGCCCGGCTCGGCCCCCTCGGGGGGCCACTGGCACATCCCGAATGGAAGGAATCTGTGCTAGAGCACAGGTGCAGCCCCATAAACGTGGGATAAATCGGGGCCGATCCGGTTTCACAGCCCCCTGTCCTCTTGGTGGTGGTGCTGTGTGTGTGTGTGGGGGGGGGGTGTTCCTTCACCGCTGCGGAGGGGGTGGGGTTGGGGCTGGTGATGGGCAGGGCGTGCGCTTATTTTGGGGCAGAAAGAGGTGAATTTGGGCGTTTGCGTGGGGAGGGAAGGGAGGAGAAGGAGGAGGAGCTGCTCCTCAACACCCACCCGCGGTGGGGGTGCCCGCATCCTGCCCCGCATCCCCTTCGCTGGGCGCTGCTGCTGCGGAGGGGGGGGGGTTCCCCCCCGTCCGGTCCCTCCCGCCGGGCGGTGCCGGGGGGCGGCCTCTCCTTCTCCCTCCCCGCAGCCCGGGGGAGGCGCTGGGGGCGGTGCGGCCGCAGCGAGCCCGGCGGGGAGCGGAGAGGAGCGGAGCGGGGCTGGGCTGGGAGCGGGGGCTCGGAGCGGGCCGATGGCGTTCAGCGCCTGGCAGATCCTCTCGCCGGTGCAGTGGGCCCGCTGGACCTGGTCCGCGGTGCGGGGCGGGGGCAGCCCCGACGGGGAGGAAGAGGAGGAAGAGGAGGAGGAGGACCCGGCCCTCGGCTTCAGGCAAGTGACCCGCGGCCACGCGTGGTGTCGGGGCTGCGACCGCGCCCGTATCCATTCCCCCCCCCTCCCCGCTGCCTGCTCGCTGCCCGCTCGCTGCCTGGCACCAGCTCCGCTGCCCGATGGGGGGGCCTGGGGGGATCGGGATGGGGGGGGGACGACGACACCGGAGGGGAACCGGTCGCTGCTGCCGCGGGTTGATGCTGTGTGGGGGGGCACAACCGAGGACCGCCCCTCCATGGGGGAGATGCTGAGCGTGCAGCTGTATCCTTGTGGCCCGCGGTGGATGCCCAAGGGGAAGGCCTGATGGAAGGAGTCGTGGATGCTCGGCCGAGAGCAGGGTTGGGGGCACACACGGAGTGTATGTGGGGGGGGCACTCACGATGTCGTTTCACCTGCTCTCCCTTTTCCGTTTGCCAGCGTGTGCCGCTGGACATGGACGGAGCGGCTGCCGCAGGATGCCCGCGGCCGGTCGGCCGGGAGCTGGCCCTGCCCGGCGGCGCGGGCAGCGAGGAGGATTGCGGAGCTAAGCCTTGCAAGCGGTAATTCCTCCCTCTTTTCCCCCCCTCCTCGGCAGCTCGGACTCCAAAGATAGTTTTGAGACCCCTGAAGCAGGAACGCCGACCAGCGCGCTGCCAAAGGAGCCGCCGCTGGAGCCCGAGGCCGGCACCCGAGGTAAGGAGCCGTCATCGCCTTCTGCTTTTGGGCTCCGGATGAATAGAGCCGGGTGGGGGCAAGCAGAAGTGGCTTGTTCTGAATAATGCCTGCCACGCTGTGGTTGAGGGCTTGCGTGGCTCAGATGCCACTCGGCAAAGGGCTGTGCTCTCATTCCCCTGCAGTGAGCATCCTTTGCTGATGTTAAAGGTGCTGCTGAGCCCTGTTTGTGGAGGAACTGTGCTTTTTGCTGCTGGGAGCACAGGGGTCCTCGGTGCTGTTGGTGGTTTGTCCCTGTGGCTTGTACCATTGTGGCTCCCTGTTTATCCTTGGCCTTTTGGGGACCAGCTCACTCCCACCATCACACCTTCTCCCACGGGGGAATTGTGGTTGGGGTCTGTGTGAGCTCAAATGGGACCAGGAGCCAAGTGCTGCGTGGCCTTGGCAGTAACAGGGTGCTGTGGGCTGCCACCTCCTGCGCTGTTGTTCTGCTGTTGGGATGGATCTGGGTGCCTGTGGAAAGCACGGGTCTGTTTTCCTTGAGAGGCAGCACTGGGTCCATGCTTCCCATAGGCACAGCTCTTGGAATCATCCTTGTAAGAAGGGATGATAGAGGCATTTTTACCTCGAGGGATAATGTCTGGGGAGGGGAAAAGGGGAGATAAAGGCTTTCCTGGCAGGTCTGAGGATCATTCCTGCCTTAGGGAAGCACATTGCTTGGTTTGTGCCTGTATCCTGGGATGAGCAGTTCCATGATGCCAGCCCGGCACAGAGCATGGGAGCCAGCACACAAAGGTCGCAGTGTTAGGGGCTGATCTCTGGCACAAGCTGTTTATCTGGGGTGGCTGATGGAGAGCAGGCTGTTGGAAACAGCAGGGCCCCAGCACCCAGCTCCATCCCTTCCCTGCATCTCCTCAGTGTCTGGAATAGAGGGAAGGGATCACCCAGGTGTGGGTGTGCGCTTGGGGTGCTGAATCCATCGGTGCAGCCCTCACCTTGGCAGCGCAGCTCTGCAGCAGCGTGCGCCCTTCGCCTGGCTGCAGATCAGGAGCAGTGGTGATGGGGAGGTGATCCCATGAAATGGCTGCATGTCAGGAATGCACCAGCTGATGGGGAATCGCTGCTGCAGGAGGAGCAGCAGGCACACGGGCGGATGCAGCATCTCCTTGCTCAGCCAGGCTGGGGAACAGGCACTGCAGCCTCAGCCTTGCTTGGGAATAGGCTATAGGGGTAGGGAATGGGTGAGACAGGAGCTGTGACACAGGGGATGGATGCTCTGTGTGCAGCTGATGGCTGCATTAACCCTGCTCTGAAGGACAGCCTGTCAGGCTCCGTGCCGCTTCAGAACCCATTGGTGGAGCCGTTCAGTGCCATCCTTGCTGAGCTTCTCTCAGGCCATCTCCCAGAGCAAGGCATCCTCTGTGCAAGGAAACAAGCAGAGGCAGCCAACATGGACCTATTGGTGCTGGTGGGCTGCTCCTGCTGTTACCCTGATGCAGGGCACGTGCTTTCCGTTGCGTTAGCAGCAGCATCGCTCTGCCAGGATGCTCGTTCTAACAGAATAGGTTTAAAAATAGACCAACGGCCTCAAACAAAGCGGAAAGGCAACAGGGGAACGGAGCCGTTGGCTACGTCAGCCCCGGCTGAAAGCACCGGCCTCATATCCTGTGCTCTGGAGAGCAGAGGGGGTGTTCTCACTGCCTTTGGCATTGAGGGCAGTGCGGGAGCGGTGCTGCTTCGCTCGGGTGCTGGATGTGGGATGAGAAGGGCACTGCTGCAGCCAAGTTGCTCTGTTTCATGCGAGGGAAGCTGCTGGGTTGGTCCGTGCTTGTGTTTCAATGCAGCCTAAGGAGGACGGGCCCAAGCATTAAAATGCACAGCACAAAGTGCCCATTACAGCGGTGCCAGCCTGTCCTGCGTGTGTGTTTGTGCTTGGAGAGGATAAATCCCTGTTTTCAATGTGTAATATCCCCTGGCTGGACCAGGAGCCTGTTTGTACTCCATGCACAGCCACTACAAGTGCTGTTTGCAGGGATCTTCCATTGGATCTGTGTTTGGGATGGATGCAGCACTGAGCCTTGCTGCTGTGCTCTTCTTCCTTATCTCCAACCTGACCCTCCCCTGTTTCAATTTGAACCCATCACCCCTTGTCCCATCGCTACCATCCCTGATGAAGGTCCCTCTCTAGCATCCTTATACCCCCCTTCAGACACTGGAAGCCCCATCACCTTTGGGCTGCTTCACAGGGGGGTTTGTCCTGCTCTCCTTGAGAACACATAAAGGGATTTATATGGGTTTCATGGGTATCTCCCCCTGATAAGGGGAGAAAACCCCACTGAGCCTGCAGGAGGGATGCTCCTCCTTTACCCACACCCTCTGTGTCCCAGTCCATCCCAGTCCCTCCGCTCTGGGATGCAGGTCGGAAGGAGGGGATGAGCTGAGCTATCCCGGGTGCAGAACACGCATGGGTTGCTCCGCTGGGAAAAGCAATGATTCCCATGGTGGCTCTGAGCACCCCAGCGCTCCTGCTCTCCCTGCCCTGCAGCCATCCCAGCCGGGAGAGGTGGTTTGCGTGCCGCCTGCTTGTTATTCCAGCAGCAAGGACTCCCTGCTCGGGTTGGGAACCGGGATGGGGCTCACGTCTGTGAGAACAGCGGCTGCAGAGCCGGCCGGTGGGAATGGGAAACGCATTCAAAAGGTGCCTTTTGGCCCTCCCTTTGAAGTCTGCTCCCTCCTCAGCGCTGGCTCCGTTCAAACCACCCCAGCTCCAAGTTGGGATCTGTTTAAGGACGTTCTCCCCGTTCCCAGGCGCTGCCTCGGACCGTCTCCTGGCTGCACTCCCAGTACACATCCATTGGGTTGTGTTTACTGGTGCGTTTCCTGGGGCAGCAAAGCGATGGCTGCTTGGAAAGAGCCTTTTTGGAGGTGGAGGGAGGGTTTCCTGCACCCACACAGCCCCTCATGGTTCATTTGCATGGCTTTTAGCATCCTGGAGACCAATTATGCCACCCGCAAGCCGTCAGCTGAGTCAGGGCTCTTGGCTCCCTGTCCTGGGTTAGCCCTGATTCACTTTTCCTTCTGCCAGCCTCCCTCACCAGTGAACGTGAGCTGGGTGTGAATGCCCCATCATAGGAACAGGGATGTGCTGGGGGAGCTTGTGAGCATCCCGCATCCAAAGCTCCTGCGCATCGATGCGCTCCATGGCTGCAGCAGTGCAATGGGACAGGTTTCCCCAGCACAAGCCCTGCTGCTGTTCCCAGTAAGAGCCTATGTGTTCCCTGATGGTGCTGAGCATCACAGCATCCCCTCCTGCCTTATCCCAGGAGCCCCTGGTTGAGATGGAGGAGAGGAGGTGACAGCAGCACCGAGGTCCTGGCTCTAGGTGCTTTGTGGGTGTAGCTTTCAGGATACCCCCGTAGATAAGGAGCTTCCCCATCCCTTTGACAGCAAAGAACAGATGAAGCAGTAAAAGGATTTAGGGGCAGGGATTGGAGTAGCAGGGATTAAGTCATGGATCAGGATTCGTGATTAAGGATCTCTGACAGCCCTGCTGAGCCTTGATGCTCTGCAGCAACAGGCTGTGGGGGAGAGCATCAGCTGCATGCGGGTGCTGTGTCTGAGCCCCCCGCCCCTATTTACAGGGGACCCCCCCATTTACAGGCTATCTTTTCACCACGGTCTCCAGGGCTTCAAATCTTACTGCAAGTGCTTGATGCCAGGGCTGCACAGGTCAGGAATCCCCCCCCAATTATAACCCTGGAGCACATAAGGAGGGGAGAAAACCCCTTCTGGAAATGGGGTGTGCAGCAGGCAGGGGTTTAACTGCCTCCTTTTGTCTTTGCAGAGCCAAGTGGCCATGGTGACCTGCTGGTAGGGGAGGCCCATGGGGACAGCTCGCCAGGGAAGCATCCCAAAGATGAGGCTCAAGCGGAGATAGCAGCCCCTAAATCCAGTTTGGATGCGAAAGGGGAAAATGACCCCGAAGATGCATCCCTGAGGCAGCCTCAGGCCCACATCCAGCCCCAAGGAGCACCGGGCAGTGGGGCCGACCAAGAACGGGTCATGCTGGGAGAGGATGCGGCGGATGCCAGCATGGGGATGATGGAGCCGAAGGGGGATGCTCTGGTCCAGGATGGGAAAGGGATAACAGAAGGATCCATAGAGGAGACCCTGGGGATGCACGATGGGAGTGTGGACCCCACTGTAGCATCGGCCCCACACTGCCCCCCCCACCCCAGCACTGGGGAGCAGGGGGGGGACCAGGAGCACAAAGAGCAGCTCCCAAAGCCTGAGGTTGATGCGATGGAGGGAGGAGAGAGCCCGGAGACGAGGAGAGCAGCGCCCAGGAGGGGCAGCAGGATCCCGGCCAGCAAAGTGACACCGAAGAGGCACCGAGAGCCCCCCAAGAAACCAGTTGAGGATGCAGAGAGGGGCCCCATGGATCTGCCCCCCCCTGGCTCCCCCAGGCTGGGTCCTGCACCCCGGATAGGCGCCTTGGGTGGCAGCTCAGCGCTGCAGGACTTGCCGGCTCTCCCCAAAGGGTCCTACCAGTTTGACCCCAATCACTTCGAGGCAATGGATCCGTTTAAGCCCACCAAGACCCTCGGCAGCTCCACCAGCGACTCCTGCCCTGCTGCTGACAACAGCCTCAATGAGATCCTGGAGTCTCAGGTGCTGGAGGTGCAGGATGAGCCCGGCAGAGGCAGCGGCTCCCCCAAGAAGCCCAAGTCCCGCCTGATAACGTGAGTGATGGAGCGGGCAGCAGCGGCCCCTCCGTTCCCTTGCGGGCAGAGCAGTGGTGGTGGTGGTGATGCTGATGATGCCCTCGTGGTTTCTAAGTGAGCCTGAAACACCGATGTGCACCTCGGGTTCGGCTGCCCTGCTTTTATCCACCCCTTGTCCCAGCTCCTGCATCCCTGTTGGCATCCTGGAGCATCAGGAGCGGATGGGAGGAGAGGGACGGGGGTCCTGGAGTGGTGCTGGGGTCCCACGTAGAATGGGGAGGGCTGGATCAGGACCCGCTTTGCAGGATCACCCCTTTGGAAAACCCTCAGGGCTCCGGCTCATGGAGCTGGTGTGGGCAGAGCAGAGGCTTTATCAAGCACAGATAAGGGTTTGGGGGCCTGTTGAAGCTTGTCTGATGGGTCAGATGCTGCTGGGACGTGGTGCGAGCTGCCCCTGGGTTGCTCTTTGCTAAGCAGGGGAAGGGGATAGTGGTGAAGAGGCAGATCTGTTGCTTCCATCACATCTGCACAGGCAGGAGGGAGCTGCTTGTGCCTTGCTGAGCTATTTCAGTGCCTTTTTAGCTCCTATTTAAACCCCGCTGTGGAGATGGTGATGTTGCATGGTGCCTCCTGGGAATGCAGGCAGTTCCTGCTGGGAATGCTCCTCTGGAGCAGGTTTCATGGCCAAACCTTCCCATTTCCTTGCTGTTTCACCCGTGGCATCACCAATGTCCTCCAAGCCGTGTGTGGGCAGTGCCTGATGCTGGGGATGGGAGCTGCTGAGCCAGGCTTGGCTCTACCTGCCCAGGCAATTTTGGGTCCTTCCTCTATAACTTGGGGTTGTGGGATTGGAACCGCTTGAAAGCAAAAGGGCTCAAAAGGGGGGGAATTTTGGGAGCGTGGAGCTGGCAGCAAAACCAACGCACCATTGCCCTGCTGATGGGCAGACGGGAGCAGGGTTATACAGGGAGCACAGACAAGAGCCAGCAGGTAAACCTAAGGGTGTGTTGGGTGCTCTGCTCATAGGAACGCTTTGCAGGGAGGGGATGTTCCCCTGTGTGACCGAGCTGGGGCTGTTCAGCAGGGAGAAGTGAGGAGCTTCCAGTGTGTGAAGGGGGCTACAAGGATGCTGGAGAGGGGCTCTTCATTAGGGGCTGTAGAGATGGGACAAGGGGTGATGGGTTCAGACTGAAACAGGGGGAGTTCAGGTTGGAGATAAGGGAAGTTCTTTATGTGAGGGTGCTGAGGCGCTGGCACAGGGTGCCCATAGAAGTGAATGCCCCATCCCTGGCAGTGCTCAAGGCCACGTTGGGTGCCATGGTTTAGTGTGAGATGTCCCTGCCCATGGCAGGGGGTTGGAACTGGACGATCTTAAAGTCCTTTCCAACCCAAACCATTCCATGATTCCATAAGTCCTCAGGGTCCCTCTCCTGGGAGCAGCATGGGCTGCTCCATTCACTCACCTCCCTGTCAGTGGGATGCATGGTGGAATGGCACCATCAATCTCACATCCGTGAATAGGAGATGCCCAACCAGAGCATCCTTTATCCACGTGTTCCTCCCCAAAAGGCAGAGCTGGGCCCAGCGAGAGTTAATACCCAGGTCTTTTCACACGCTCTTCTTCTCTCCATCTGTCTGTCTGTCTCCCTGTCCATGCTTTGGTGCATCAGGACCACTGAACAAGTGAAATTTCTCTGTTTTCTGTTGTAAGTACTCTCTTCTCTATTGCTTTCCTCTTCTCCTTGGCTGGTTTTTGTCCTCTTTCTCTGGGTGGGTGCTGGCCCCACACGTCTCCACGGCATGCAGGCTCCTTGTGCCCTTTGTCTCATGCTCTGCGCTCTCTGGTCCATGGCCTGCAGCTCTCGGGGTGGCTCGGCCCGGTGAGGTGAGGATGCTGTGCTTGCTCCCGCAGCATGCGGCCCGCAATGCCTTCAGAGGGTTCAAGCCCTCAAACCCAGTGCGTTGGCTAACGGAGGGGAGCAGCTCTGTGTGCAAGTCCTGAAGGTGAGGGCATCTCCTACCCCTTCCCAAAGACACCTCTATAGAGGGGTAGGGGAAAGCATCATCCAGGAGGTGATGGAGTCAGTGCCCGTCTCCTCTGATTGATTGAGGAGATGGTCCCAAAGGAGCTTTGAGACACTGAGATGGTCCCAAAGGAGCTTTGAGACATTGAGATGGTCCCAAAGGAGCTTTGAGACATTGAGATGGTCCCAAAGGAGCTTTGGGACATTGAGATGGTCCCAAAGGAGCTTTGGGACATTGAGATGGTCCCAAAGGAGCTTTGCCCTCACAGCCAGCTCCAAACAGGGCTCCCATGAGCTCTTTGGTGCCTGCCAGAGCCGATTTGCTCATGGCTCTCCATCAGAGCATCCTTACTGTGAACAAGGCTGGGATGGAGCTGGGCTCTACATGGGCTGGAAAGTGAACCCCAGTGCAACCCCCAGTACCCATTCTGTGCCCCCAGGGCTTGCAGCTCCCATCCCATAGGATGGGCACACAGCAGGGTCCTGCCTCACCCCCATGGGTGATGCTCAGCGTTGTCAGTCATCCCCTCCCAGGCCCTCTGGGCTCTGCTGTGGTGCAAGGGAGAATGCTGGGCTCAGCTCCCATCTTCTGTCATCATCCCAATGCCCTTCTTGTGTGCTCAGTGCTGCTGCCATATGCACGACCAGCATTGGAGCCGGGCTCCAGCGCTGACATCTGTGTCTTGGCCAAGACCCCATCTGCCTTTCCACTGGCTCACAGTGGGTGTCTGTGTCACCACGGGCCCTGCAGCACGATGGGGCTGCCTGTGCCCCAGGCATTGCAGGGCATCAGCCTGGGCTCCCTGCTCCCCGTTGCCCCCGTCCCCTTGAATTCCAGTTATCTCAGTGCTGGGGAGGGGGGTCATTTGGCGCACGTGTGTGATGGGATGGGGAGCGATGGGTGGGGGAGATGCTTTATAGCAAGGAATGGCTCAATGCAATCCTGGCAGAGATCCCTCCTCAGGTACCCGCAGTGGGATGCTACATGAGCTGTGTCCAGCTTGGCCAGTATCTCCCTTCTGGGGGTTTGGATATGGGAGATAATGGACATGGAGTGAGAGGGCGGTGAGATGCAGGGTTGCTCATGCTGGGACCATCCCTGTGCTGCCCCCGGCTGATTCAGGATGCTGATGCCCGGTGTGTCGGGATGTGGCTGTGCTGCACTCCTGCACTGATGGACTCTGCAATGGCACGCCTTGAGGAACATGGGATGAACAGCCAGGGAGAGCTTCCTCACTGAAGAGCATCCAGCCACCCAAGATCAGCCTGAGCTCAGCCTTCACCTATCTGCAAGGCTCTTTTCCCTTTGCATGTGGTGGAGGAAGCATCCGAGTTGCCCTGCAAGCAAAGCAGAGCTCAAACCAGCAATCCAGCCGTGTGGGTCCAACTTGCACATGGAGATATCCCAGGCAAACCTGCAGGGAATGAGCATGAGACAGCCTGGAGAAGCTTCCATCCCGCAGGAGATCCGTGTGCCCTTTGCGATGCATCGAGGATGCAGAGAGGGGCATCTCAGTGGCAATGGCCTCTCGCGTTGTCAGCATCTCTGCTGCTTCCCTTCAGCAGGAATAAACTGCTCAGACACAAACCCCGTTGCTCTGTAGTCCTGTCTTTTGTTCACTTGCTCCTCTGCCCGCCCCAGAGCTTGCTCTGCCTCCGTGTCCCACTGGGGAGTGCGGTGCTGCCGGGTGCGAACGCTGCTGCTGGGGCTGCTTCCCCCCTGCTCTGCTCTCACTCGCGGCCCCTGCCGATGCCTGAGCTGCTGCTTCTCTCCCTGCAGGAGCGGCTGCAAGGTGAAGCCATACGAGGCACAGCCCCTGGTCCTGGATGCTGGCGCTCAGGTAGGGGGGGATCCCACCAGGGATGCTCGGCTGGGGGCATGGGGAGAGGTGGGGGTCAGGATGGGGTGTCCCTGGATGCAGTCAATGCGAGAGCATCTTCCCTATGGGAAGGGTGGGAGGAGGGTGCTGCTTGGTGCTCAGCCCTGTCCCTGGCCAGGCATGGTCCCTGTGGTTCATTCAGGTCCATGTGCATGTGGTATCATCCCTGTCCCCATCATCTCTGCAGCTGGGTTAATGGGGTTTGTGTGTTCATTGCTTCTGCCCCCAAACCCCACTGAGGAGCTGCTGGGTTGCACTTGGTGGTGGATGCGAAGCTTCCCATGCAACCCGGCTGCCTGATCCCCATGGATTAGCTCAGTCCTGCTTAACGGCGTGCCTTGACCCTGCAGGATGAAGGAGCGCCGATCCCAGTAATCCCAGATATCGCCAATCGGGATGGACGAGCCACTGATGAGGAGAAGCTGGCCTGCACCACTGCACAGAAACCTGGCCTGGAGAAGAAGGCTGAGCCTGAAGATGACCTGGAGTACTTTGAGTGCTCCAATGTCCCCGTGCCGGCCGGGAAGCACAGCACGGAGCCAGGTAAGGAGCATCCCTGTATCCTCTGGGATGTGCTGTGCATGGAGCTCTGGCCATGAATTGAGGCAGCTTCTATTCACAGTGCCAGGGCTCAAGGCCCTATAATGAAACCTCTGTTGCTTACGGCACGATTTCCATCATGGAAAACCAATGTCATGGACTTGTGTTTGCTTGGATGCTGTGAGTACAGAGCATCCCCATGGTGCTGTGGTGGTTACAGGGTGCCCTGCTCGAAGCTGAGCTCCCAGCCCTCAGTATCCCAGCACCAGGTCAGTGACTGATGGAGATCTCAGCATCACTGCAGACCCCTGCTGATGCTCCTGCTGGCCCTTTGCTGTCAGTCTCCTATGGGATTAGCCTTGCTGACCAACCCATTACAGCAGAATCAGACCCAGGCGTTAGAACAGGACATTTAATCAATAGCAAAGCTAAAGGTGCAAGAGGAGGAATCACTGCAGGGGGGTTCTGCAGCTCTGCCCTGTGCCCATTCATCATTGCCCCTGGATGCTGTCCAGGCTGCAGGTTCTGGGGAGGGGAAATGAGCCCTTTGGCTCCAAATTGGGGGGGAAAAGCAGGAAATCAGCGCTGTTTCCTCCTTCCCTTTATGCTTTTCTCTGCCTGGCCAGTGCTGGCTGCAGCTGAGGTCCATAAATCACCTCCTGCTCTATGCCAGAGGGCAGGTTGCAGACAGGAGGGGTTTATCTCCTCTCTGATGCTGTTAAGAATAGCTGGGGCCATGTGGCAGCTCCTTTGGGCCCCGTTGGTGCGGGCTGAGGCTTGTGCTATGCGGAGCGGCCCAAGCAGCTGGGCTTCACAGCAGGGATGCATCCCACGGCGTTCCCATGCAGCTCCAATGCTGCTCTGGGCACCACAGGGCTGAGCTGCCACCAGGGGGAAGTGTTGGCTTCCACTGCAGGGTTTGAGGCTGGCAGGGTGCGGGATGCATCCAGGCTGCAAGGGCACAAGCATGGGGCAAAGAAGCCTTTTGGGAAGGGATGCTCGGAGGATGCCGATGCCCTTCTGCATCCCAGCGAATCCAGATGTGCAGCAGGGTCTTGGTCACAAGGGGTTAAAACCTTGTGTTTCCTTCTTTAGGCTTTGAAAAGGAGATCTCCAAGCAGGTGGAAAAGGACATCTTCCCTGTGAGTGCCTCTTGCTTCCTCTTTGCTCCCTATGGGGAGGCTTGGGGCTGCGGGAGGGTGACCCCATTGTGCCTACGTTGTGCCACCCAAACCTCTCTGAACTGGGTTTCTTTGGGAGATAAAGGCCATGCAAAGCCCACACAAGGGCTTGGTAAAGCCAGGGGTGATGTCCCACAGGATGGCTCCCTCCAGATGGGCACTGCGGGAGGGAGATGCTGGGAATGATGGGGATCCAGGGCTGCACCATGGATGCTCAGCAAGAGCACCCACTCTATGTGGAGTGGCTGCAGGACAGGGAGAGGGAAGAGGAGGTCCCAAGGAAGGGATGAGCTGCAGGACATGGGCTGTGCATCACATTGAGGTGTTCATGAGCATTATAAGGGGCACCCCCAATGCACCCCAAAGGAGCCATTGGGTGACCCCAAGACCCTCAGCTGCAGGGAACCCTGTGCCAGCTCATCCAACCCTGGGCAAAGCTGCTCGGGTGCAAGCAGATGACGATGAGATTACCAACATCAGCAAAACGAGCTCCTCTGAGACAGATTGACCCACGCTAAGCCCCACAAGGACAACGTGAACCCAGTGCTTGGGGCTGGGCAGGCTCTGAGCCGCCAGCATCCCAGAGCCGCTGTATGGGGCTCCCATGGGATGGGTTTGGGGCTCTTGGGTGATGCTGCCTGGACCCAAACGTGCTTGAGCCCGAGCTGCAGTGAAGGAGGAGGGGAGGGAGGGAAGTGCTTTAGTGCTCTGGTTTCCAAAACAGAGCCGAGGCACGGAGCCTGCTCCAAAGCTCTTCTCTATTTATGGCCTGGCAGCCGGTTCCCAAGGAGATGCCTGCATGGGGCTGTCATTTAGAGGGATACAAGGAGGAACAGGCGGTGGTGGCAGCCCTTGCTTGGGAGGAATGCTGTTCTGGAGGCTGCAGCACCCCCCGAGGGAAGGGATGGGGCAGCATCCAGGCGGGATTCAGCCTCGCAGCGCTGAGCTCGTCCCTAGTTTGGTCCCCTGGTGCGGAGGAGCTGGGGAGCAGTGAGGAATGGGGGTGCAACCACCTCAGATCATGTAAAAGCACCTATAATAGGAACAGGGGGGTGATGGGGCTCTGTGTGAGCATCTCCCAGGCTGGGGCACAGTGGGATGAGCGGGGCCGCCCATTGGGAAGGGCTCAGGTGGAGCCGTGCTCTGCAGGGAAGTGATGCCTGTTCCCCCCTTGTGCATTTGGGGTGATCAATGAGGCCCTGCTGCTGCTGGCAGCAGTTTGAGTGCATCAGCTGCACCCACGTCTCCATCTGATGGAGGTGATGGAGAAGGGGGACCTGGTCCCTTGCCTGTGGCTCCCATTTAAACCAATCATGGGGAAAGTGAAGGGATGTCCGATGTGAGCACAGCTCTGCTTCTGAAATGGGCCCTTCCTGGGTCTCTCCTTTGGGATGATGCTTCCCTGGGTGTCCTATGGCACAGCCCCAGCTCCCAGCAGGAGACTGGGCATCAAGTGTAATAAATCCCCATATGGGCTCTGAGCTGTTGGTGTGTGCAGGATGTTCAACGCCTGCATAGAGGTTGGTGCATTGGGGAGAGCATCCCAAAAGGGAGCTGAAACCCCTGCAGCATCCCGAATGGCTGCTCCCCGCAGGGCAATCCCGGGCTGTGCTCCATGGACAAGCCCCCCTCAGCCATCACCAGGAGCGAGAGTCCCTTGGACAGCATCTGCCTCAGTGAATGCGAGAAGACGGCCGTGCTCACGCTCATCCGAGAGGAGGTAACGTGGGGACCGGGGCGGTGCACCCCTCGAGCATCGCAGCACAGGGAATCCACCCAGAACCCATCCCAAGGCTCCTGTGTCTGCTGCAACCTAGATAATCACCAAGGAGATCGAGGCAAGCGAGTGGAAGAAGAAGTATGAGGAGAGCCGCCAGGAAGTGCTGGAGATGCGGTAGGACCCTTCCCATTGGGAGGCGATGGGATTCCTCAGGGTGGGATGCGGTAGGAGATGCGTTTGTGCTGCATTGAGCTGCTGGGTTCTCAGTCCCAGGCTCAGAATCCCATTCACTGCCATGGGCATCACCAGGGCCTTGCTTGGGCTGTGTTTGCGGTGTGGGGAAGGGGCAGCAGGGCTGTAGGTGCGTGCCTGCCTCTTCCCTGCGTTATCCTTCTCCCTTCCTCCTAGGAAAATCGTGGCTGAGTACGAGAAGACCATTGCCCAGATGATAGGTAAGGTGCCATCCCCTGGCGGGGTGCATGGAGCCATGAGGGAGCTGCCATCCCCACTCAGTCCCTGTGTCCCCTTGCTGCTTGTTCTCCATCCCAGAGGACGAGCAGAGGACGAACATGACCTCCCAGAAGAACCTGCAGCAGCTCACCATGGAAAAGGAGCAGGCGCTGGCAGACCTGAACTCGGTGGAGAGGTCCCTATCGGATCTCTTTAGGAGATACGAGAACCTAAAGGGCGTCCTGGAAGGCTTCAAGAAGGTCCTTACCTTGCTTCCCCCTTTCTCCCTGCTCTCAGAGGTCCCATGGCATTGCCCTCACTTTGTCCCCTGCGTTTTCCCCTTCCCAGAATGAAGAAGCTCTGAAGAAGTGTGCTCAAGATTATTTAACCCGGGTCAAGCAGGAGGAGCAGCGGTACCAGGCCCTCAAAGTCCATGCGGAGGAGAAGCTGGACAAGTAAGGGCATGCGTGGGGTTGATGGGTGCTCAGAGACCCCATAGGGCAGTGTCTCCATGGTTGGAGCTTACTGATGTGGAAAGCTGCCTTTTACAACCTCAGGCTCGAGTGGCTTTAAATGGTTGTGAGTGAAGCCAGCATGAATCCCTCAATGGATTCTCCAGTCTCTGCTTAGGTTTCCTAATGGAGAAACTGAGGTTTATGGTCTACTTACAGCCACTTAACCAGTTCCTGTGCTCCAGGAGGGCTCGTGTGTGTGTTGTGCTGGACACACAGCATCCCTGAGTGAAGTGGGTGAGGACCTGGTTGAGCTTCACCCCACAGAGCTTGCAGGAGCAGAATTAACCCCAGTCCACGCAGGTTTTCCATATGGGGCACGCAGGAGCCGGGCTCTGTGATGCTTTGTCCCAGTGACCATTGTCCCCTTGTGTCCAAACCCATCATAGAGCCAACGAGGAGATCGCCCAAGTGCGTGCCAAGGCCAAGGCAGAGAGCACAGCCCTGCACGCGGGGCTGCGCAAGGAGCAGATGAAGGTTGAGTCCTTGGAGAGAGCCCTGCAGCAGAAGGTAACACCAGGTTCCCTTTGCTGCCCTGAGCATCCTCTTGGTGCTGCAGGCATCCTTTGGGTTTTGGGCCTAGAGAGTGCTCTGTGGGTCTGGGTTTTGGGGGTATTTCTTCACTTGCTTGCTTGGTTCATGTCTTGGGGTTGGGTTTGGTTGTTGAGATGTACAGCTGCATCCTCTCCATGGAGGGCATTGAGCTCTGCATGGGTGTAAGCACGGCTATGGGCAGTGCTGGGGTTGCCAGTTCAGATTGGGTTCGGTTGTTGAGATGTACAACTGCATCCTCTCCATGGAGGGCATTGAGCTCTGCATGGGTGTAAGCACGGCTATGGGCAGTGCTGGGGTTGCCAGTTCAGATTGGGTTCGGTTGTTGAGATGTACAACTGCATCCTCTCCATGGAGGGCATTGAGCTCTGCATGGGTGCAAGCATGGCTATGGGCAGTGCTGGGGTTGCCAGTTCAGATTGGGTTCGGTTGTTAAGATGTACAACTGCATCCTGTCCATGGAGGGCATTGAGGTCTGCATGGGTGTAAGCACGGCTATGGGCAGTGCTGGGGTTACCAGTTCAGGTTGACTCCAGTTTGGCTGTTAGAGCCACCAGCACACCCATGGACAGCATCAGGATGCGTTTGGGGTGAGGATGGGTGCGCTCCGGGTCCCCACAGCCCATGGATGCTGCACAGAGGAGGTTGGGCAGGAGCATCACCTATACCCATAGGGGGGTTATCTCCCATCCATGCCACCACGGGGGCTCTTCATGATCCATTTTCCTTCCAGAACCAGGAGATCGAGGAGCTGACCAAGATCTGCGACGAGCTGATAGCGAAGCTGGGCAAGACGGACTGAGCCCCACCACCCATCGCCCAGCACTTGGCCGCTTTCCTCCTCACGTGCAGCACTTTGCCTTACCCCAGGCCCCCGGCACAGAGCACAGCATCCTGCTGCCTGCTCCCTGCATCCCAGGGCTCCGGGACCGCGATCCCTGCAGTCAGGCTGCGTGTCCCTCTGCGCTGATGCCACCTCTCCACTGGGAGGTGGGACACCCCCCCCCCCCCTCAACCCCAGGCTCTGTCTCCTTTGTCTGGGTCTGGTTGTGCCCCTACACACTCTTGTCACTTACTGTCCCCTCCTGCTCCAGGTTGACCCCATGAGGCCCTGCCATGGGATGTGGGTGATGCCGATGCTGGAGCCGCTGGTCCTTGCACTAGGGAAGGGACCATGCACATGGGTGGGGAGAGGCAGCAAAGGGGAGCCTTTAGGTTTTGGGGCCACCAGTGTGATCCTTTGGCCAAAGCAGCCTCCTATGAGGTCGATTGGTTTTGGGAGAGGTGTTGGGGTTCAGGGGACTGGTCCCAGTCTCTGGTCCATGGGTGGAAGGCAGCACAGAGCATCCTCATCCCTGGCTGTGCCAATGGAACCCAATGTCTCTGCATTCGTGCACTTTATTAGCATTTATGAGCACTGAGGCTCTCTGCTCACTTCTTCCAGCAGGCACGGTCCTGTCACCATCTCCTTCCCTTGGGAGCACCGATACGGCTGCTTCACCTGCAGTAACCTGAGTCCCCTCAAAGCAGAGCCCTGCCAAAGGGAGGGCAGGAGGCTCCTGCACTGGGGGTGTTTGAGCTATGGGGAGATGCTGGTTCTGCAGAGCTGGGGCTTCTCCATTTGCCTGCCCCACGGTCAGTGCCCTTCACAGTGCTAAAGCCAAGCCCTGTCCCTTGGCTCCCCACGCCACAGCCACACTAGGATGGATGTTACAGGGGGAAATTGCTTCATGATCCTGCTGACTTAAGGCTCTTTCCCCATCAGTGCAGAACAGAGCAGCCCTGCCCGGCTCTTTGCTGCTCCCACAAATGCCCTTGCAGCACTGAAGGTGAAGGGAACCAGACAAAAGCCAGCCTCGACAGGCACAGGCAGGCCCGGGCAGCAGGGAAGTACCCTTTGGAATCTATGGATGCAACCCAAGATCTGCTTTTCCATGCAGGCAGGGCGCCTGCTCCGCCTCGGAGTCCATGTCCATGGGCATGCAAACCACCGAGGCTGCCTTTGGATGTGCTAGGAAGAGGGGGGCTCCTCAAGATCTGGGGTTCCATGGGGTGCTGTGGGTCAGTGCAGAAGCATCCCTGCAGAAGCAGATGGATGGGATCAGGCAATAGCTGCAGTGGTAAAGGGAGGACCCTATCGCCTTGAGCAGGGAGTCGTAAAGCATCACATAAGGGAAGTATTTGCTCTTTGGACTGTTTCCTACCCAGCCTATTGAAGACTTTCACAAACCTTTTTGCTGCTACCTTTTTGTAAGAGATTTGAGCTGGTTTCCTTCTATTTTCTAACCCCAGTGGTGCGCATGCAGTGTTTAACCCAGAGCCATACCCTTGGGTATATTTTAGTAGCTATATGATGGATAGAGAGAGTTTATCACGCACTTAAGCAGATGAAGATGCCAGCAGCCTGCCCTAGCACGCAGAGTCCAGGCCTGCTCCCTGCGCTCCCAGTTATCCCAGTGACTGGGAAGCTGATGGCTGACACCATCCATGGCTTTGTGCTGAATGTTTGCCCCTTTGCACAGCAAGGAAACCCCCTTTTTCTGCTCTTTCCCCCCCTCTTTGTCCTCCCCACACATCCATGGGCTGGCAGGAAGGCCTCTGGCAGAGGATGGGCAAGGATGATTCCTGTTTGGGAAGTCAAAGTGCCCGCCTCAGCCCACTGGAGCATCACCCCCCTTCCCTCTGTACCATCACCATTAGGGGTATGCAGACTACAGCACTGCTCTCCCACTCCAGAACAACATTCCTGCCTGGATGGGTAACCCTTTGGACCTCTTGGGGGTCTGTGCAGGTGAATTGACCCCCTTGAGACCAGGAATTCCTTAGGGAGCTGGGTTTTGTTCTTTGCAGCATCCTCCTCCCCATCTGCTTCCCAGCCTCTCCCAGTCCCACTCACTGCCTCTGTCACCCCAGTGCTGCTGCATCCCTGCGCCTGCCAGCATGCACTCCCAGTCTGGGCAAAAGAAGATTCCTAAGGAATGATTTATTAACTATAATATGGTTATAGTTACATATATATATATATGTATAATGGTTATAGTTCTATATAATAGGAGGCGTGTGTTTGTAGCTGCAAGCAGGCAGGACTGTTGCATCCCGGATGCTGCTCTCAGGAGCCAGCTGTGGATGGGGCTGGCTTAGCCCTGGAGCTAACATCCCCTTTGGATGCTACGTTCCAGTGAGGACGCATCCCGGTTAGGGGAGCACTGTGGGTACCCGTGTTTGGGGTCACAGCATCGTGGTGTTTGTCATCATCTGCTTGCGGTAGAGGTGAAATCCCTGCATCCAGCAAAGTGCCAATGAGGAACTGCCCTGACTTTAGATGGCTCCCCCCAAGGCAGGCGCTTCCCTGCACTGACCCCAGTCGCTTCCCACCACGTGTGTAAGTGCCATTGCCATCGGTTTTGTATGTCCCATGAGTTCCCTTTTCTATGTCAGGTAAATATTTGTAAGAGTTATACTCACACAAATGAGATTATTCTAACAATTACTAATATATTTTTGTTGCCATGTTTCATTGCCTGAATAAAACCCGTGTTTAGCACTCTTGAAACCTTTCCTGCTGTGTGCAAGGGTGGAGAAGCTGGGTTTAGGTTCTATGCGTCAGGGAGAGGGACTCTGCTTAATCCCCCCTGATCACCTTCATGGCCATAGGGGAATCCTCTCCTGGGATGGAGACTGCCTTGCACAGCCCATGTGAAGCGGGGACGGCTCCTGATGTGTCCAGAGCATCTCCAGATGTTCTCTTTGGAGGGTTCATGCCCAGCTTGGCTGCTGCAAATGGCAGGAGAGGGCTTATCCTGAATGACCACGGTCTATGAAAGGCACCAGTGTTGGAGATGGAGCCGGTCCCCAAAGCAGAGCCCAGCCACCAAGCACCTCCAATGCTCTGCCCATGTCCTTGGCATCCGTGTCCCGTCCTCCCTGGCTAAGATGGCATTAGGCAGGGGCTGCAGTAAGTGCGTTATCCCCAGCCCGGTGATCCCATAGCCCAAGCAGATTAGCTCTAAGACCTTAAGACAAAACAGACGCTGAGCACCCTGTGCTGCGCACAGCCGGGATGTCCGCCCTGAAGACCCTCCTGGCCCTGGCCCTTGTCACATCCTTGGCTGGATACAGTAAGTGTCCAAGGCAGCGCTGGGATGGGAGGGAATCGCTGTGGAAACGCTGCTCTTCTGCTTGCTGGGTGCCCCCATCCCTGCAGAGAACCGGCAGTCCATGGGGATGTTGGTACCCAAAAGAGCATCCTGCTTTTCACATTGCCAGCCGAGGCTGTGGAGCCTCCTGATCCCCATCTCTGGTGGAGCAAGGAGGTACCTGAGCCAAGGAGCAGCAGCTTCTGGTGCTGCTGGACCAAAACGCAGCTCCTCAAAGGTGGAATCACCAAAAGGCATCTCAAAGGGCAGGAGGGCGGCGATGCTGTGCCATGAGCAATGTCGGGATGGTTGGGACAAGAAAAGATGAACCGTGGCGGTGTTTTGGGCTACAAGCGATGCCGCTGGGGAAGCCGGGGGTCAATGTGGGTTAACGGCATCTGAAATCCCAGTTTTCCATCGGTTTTCCCAGCGGATGGAGGTGGGAGCTCCGGCCTCCCGCAAGCCGCTCTTGCCACGAGAGGGCTCTGCTCAGCCGGCAAAGCGCGGCCAGGTTTGAGTCCCAGCATCAGTGGGAATATCCATCAAAACCGACAATTCCTCGTTTCAGGCAGGGGCAGGATCTTCAGATCTAGGGTTGGGGGGGCTTTGCCTGCAGGAATTTAACGCTTATGCTATTGAAAGTCGTTAAATGACACCATTAAATGATACCATCACTTTCACATCTGCTCCACCGGTTCCTAAACGGAGCAGGGACCTCTTCCTGCTGTGTGCTTCCCTCTCCTAAAGCATCCAAGAGCTCTCACCCCTGTCATCAGCTCTGGCTCACACAGCACTGCAAGACCAGGGGCTGGCTATTGTCTAACACGCCTGGGGAGCATCCAGAGATGGGTCGGATACAGGGGCTCTGGGATGCCGCTGCTGCTGCTCTCACTCCTCATCCTCCTCTTCCTCCTCCCCATCTTCACACAGGTCAAGCACTGAGATGCCACAGATGTGTCGCATCCAACGAGAACGACTGCAACAAGCAGGGCTCCCACAGCTGCCCCCAGTACGCTGATGCCTGCTCCACAATCACTGCGCCCAGTAAGTGCCTGGGCCGGGGGGACTGGGTGTGCTGGGGAAGGACCAGAGGGCAAAGAGAAGCAGGGGATGGGAGGGAGCCTGTTTCCTCTTGTCCCTGTGAAGCAGGGATGAGCCATTTGTGTTTCCCACCTTTTTAGCCCTCAGGAGCATCCTTTTGGTCCGAGGGCACCCACAGCCCTTTGCTGGTGTAAGGAAAGTCCTTTGTGGCAGGCAGCTCCCATTCAGAACAGCGTTCCATTAGTTTTCCATGTGGGAACAGACAGGGACTGTTCCCAAACCCAGCCTCCCTCCTTGGGTTCACTCCACAGCCTGGGCTATTCATATTCTCACCCATATCAGGTCCCTATTTCACATCAGGGCTGTGTGATGATGAGCTGGGTGACCACAGGGGCATCCCTTGGCCACTGGACCACTCCTTGGCTCCCACAGCAGTGCTATGGGTGCTTTGATTCCACATCACTATCACAGCCTTGCTGGGATGCAGCTCTTCCTTCCCTCCCCTGCCCCAGCACAACAATTAGGGTTGGAAAGGGCCTTAAGACCATGTAGCAGGGCCTGACCCCATGTCCCCTGTTCCTCTCCTTGCAGACAGCATCATCAAGTCCTGCTCCTACAAAGCCTTCTGTGACCAGGCTCGTGGTGGCGGCTCCAGCGGGGCCACCGTGCGCTGCTGCTTCAGTGATGACTGCAATGGGCAGCGGGGCTCCAAGAATGGGGCCGGGACCCCTTCCAAGCCCCTCCATGGGCTGCTGGTGGCTGCACTGGCCGGGATGCTGCTGCTGAGCTGGGTCTGAGTGGACACAATGGGGTAGCTGCTTGTTGCCATAGCCTAGGGCCGCGGGTCGGGGTTTGCTGTGTGTGAAGGATGGAGAGGCTGAGCTGCCATCGCACCAATAAAAGCTGCAGTTGAAAACCCTGTTTGCAGCCCCTGCTCCTCATTGACAGGGATCATGGGATGGGGTGGGTTGGAAGGGACCTTAAAGCTCATCCAGTTCCACGCCTTCCATTAGGCCAGGTTGCTCCAAGCCCCATCCGACCTGGCCACAATGGGATCAAAGCGACAGCCCCAGGAGATTCCCATTCTCTCTTTTCATCAGGCTTTGCCTGGGTGTGCTCCACAGCTGCCCATCATCATTACCTCCTAAAGTGATCCCATATAGAAGCCCTCCTCCAGCCCAGAGCCCTCCTAGGGCTGGTCTGATGCAGGCAAAGGGGCCTGGCATGGGAGGTCTTGCAGTTTAAGGTGAAGAAAGGCAGTGCTGGTTTGGGTATGGAGGAGATGAAGCGCTGGGGAGGGTGCAGGATGCTGGGGATTCCCACTGGGATAAGAACAAAGCTCCCAGTGCTCACAGAGAGTAAAAGAGAATGAAAGCGAGGGGACAAGACTGAGGGGGAAAGGAAGGGGGATGATGAAGGGGCAGGATGCTTGGGAGCATGGAGAGGGATGTGAGTGCAGGGAATGCAGCTCGGTGCGGGCAGCAAAGCTCTGCCTGGAAGCCCAGCCAACCTGTGGGAGTTTCCCTTAGTCATGAGACGAGCAAAAAGGGAACAGGTACTGAAACCAAGCAGGGGCAAGTCCGAACAGAGGAGCAGGGATCCGGCTCGGCTCCAGGCACGGAGCTCCCTGCTGCAGGATGCTGCCGGGACAGAGCCCTGGGTGAGTGCTGCAGGGTGGGAAGCCCTGGAGAGCACGGCTATGGGGTCCTGGGGGGGTTAACCCCACGCAGGGGGGATAACACAAGAGGGGAGGGCAAAGCTGCTCTGTGCCTGCTTCTTCCACTGGGAACAAGAAGGATGCTGGTGGGATGCGAAGGCTGTGGTGTAGGGGCATGCTCTGCTCTTTCTGTGTGCTAATGGGGTGTCCTTGTGAGTTCAAGGGGGTTCTTGCACCCCTCTACAGGCTCCAGCAGCAAACCCCATAGGGAAAGGTGGGATGTGAACGGGAAGGCTCCTGGGATGAAGGAGGAGCAGCAGTGTGACTAGCTGCCGTGTGACTGGGTAGGACACGGTGCCAGTCACAAGGGCTGTGAGAGATGCCCTGGTATAAAAATACCCCATGGAACAGTTTAGTGTCTGCAAAGCAGGCAGGGATGAGGAGGGGGGAGACTGGGCAAGGCCGGGGAGCTCATTCCAGTGTGGAACACTGGGAGCAGCGGGAAGGGGAAGAGGAAGATGCGCTCGGGGTGGGTGATGTTATCTAAGTGTGACCCAGGTGCTGTGGCCTGTGCTTCCTTAACGGGTGGCTCTTCATGCTTCAGGTTTTGCTGCCCTTAGAGCAGCTTCAAGAGCTCTATAGGAGCTCTCCGTGCTTTCAGGCTCCAGCGCCATCAGTGTGTGCAGCTGGGTGAGGATGGGCTTTAGGGTATGGATGGGGAGTGCAAGGAGCAATGCCCAGCTGCATTGAGGGGTGATCCTTCCCTTAGGAGGTACACGAGTGGCAAGGCCAAATCCTGCCATCACACACAGCAAAGGGCACCCAGGATGGAGTGTCTCAGCTCGGGTTATGTGTGGTCCATTGGGGCTCTTTGGGAGGAGAGGCAGAGGGAGCTCGGGGCTGCTTTTCTCCTGATGTAATTGAGAAATGATGCTCATTCATTTTGGGTGTGGGGCTGGGCTGAGGGAGTGATGCAGCTCTGCCAGCATCCCGCTGGGAATTCCTAGGGAAAAATAACCCCTTGTGAACAATGGGAACCACAGAATGGAAGGGACCTTAAAGCTCCTCCTGCTGCAACCCCTGCCACGGGCAGGGACACCTTCCACTAGAGCAGGGTGCTCTCTGCAGCACCATGATTGGTTTCACCCCTGCTGGGAGAAAGCACTTTGGGGCCAGAGGCAGCTCCAAAGAGAAAGCTGGGCCTTTCCCATGCATGTAAATGGGGGTTTCCTGCTCCCCAAATCCACCCTGAGCTCCAGCAGCAAGCGATGCTCGTGCAGGGCCCCACATGGAGCTGCTCATCCCCATGCAGTGCGCACTGAGAGCCTCTCACAGCAGAGCCCCTGGGCCTGTGATGGGCAGGAGGCTGTGGTTTTGTGTCACACAGTTGGGCATCTCATGTGCCATGGGAAGGGAGGGAGGAAAGCTCTGCTCTAAAAGTGACCCAGGCCATAGGAAATGCTGGGGATTGAGGCAATGTGTTGATAGAAGGTGATGTGCAGTGAGTGCTCAATGCTCAGGGGGGAAAACAACCTTCAAATGCATAGAATCTGGTCTTGACATGGGAGAAAAGAGAGACACCCTGCGGGGCACAGAGCTGGGTGCTGGGGTCACTTGTGCTGCATGGAGAGGAGCAAAGCTGGTGACAGTCTCTAGATGGGGACTCTGCAGAGCTGGTACCCGGAGGGGCATCACTAACGCTCTGTGATCGGGATCTTTGGGGTGTGGGTGATGGAATTAGATGGTTGACTGACAGTGATGGAACTGGATGAGCTTGAAGGTCCCTTCCCACCCCAAGCACTCTATGAAAACTGGTGGTGATCACCCACAGCCCATGGCACTTGTTCCCCTGCCCCTATTACCCCCTATTACCCCTATTGCTGCTGTGTTTGATGTCCATAAAGCAGTGGCCTTTGTAAACCCATAACGATGCCCCAGAGGCTTTGGGGGCTCTGTGTCACGGTGAGGACTGACTTAGCCAGGACCCCAGCGCTGCTCCTGCATGGGAATGCTCTCGGTGCTGCTCACTGGGGCTGGCTCCTGCCCTCAAGGGCTCGGCCGGGGGCGCATCCCGGTGCGTTTGGAGCGCGTTGATTTACGGAGCGGTTTTCGGTCGGGTTGGGGGGGGATTTGTATGGGGGGGAACTGGGCTGGCCCCATCCCCGCTCCGCAGCGGGTACCGGGTGGTGGAGGGGGGGCTGGACCGAACCGGTGCCTCCGCAGGTGCGGTGAGGGGCGGACGGGACGCGGGCACGGAGCCGCCCCGCGCCCCGCACTCACATCCGGGGCCGGGTTTGCTCATGGCAGACGTAATTAACCCGGAAAGAAGCGGAGCCGGCCCCGCAGCGCAGGGAGCCGCGGGGTGAGTGTGGGCTCCCCCCCGTCCCCGTCCCCGTCCCCACCGGCCCCATCCGCACCACAAGGGGCTTCCGAAGGGCGGCGGCGGAGGGAGCGGGCGGGGATGCGGCCCCGAGTCGGGCTGGTCCATGGGTGCGGGAATGCGGCCGGAGCTCCGGTCCCGGTGCTGGCTGCATCCCGGTTGTCGGAGTGTATGGGGGGGGTTCGGAGGCGCTTGGGGATGGCAAGAACGGGAGGTGGCGAGTTTGGGAGCGGGGTCGTTGCTGCTCCCCGCTTTGGGTGTGCGGGGTCGGCAGCAAGCACAGGGAGGATGCGGGAGCTGCAGTTATCGGGAGCGTGTTCCCCGGGCTGTGTCTCTGTGGTGGGACGAGGAAGCGCATCCCGGCTGCTCCCAGCCTGCCTTCAACAGGTTCGTTACTTCGGTAAGGCTCCGTCTGCCGGTGTCAGCCGCCCGATAGACGTCGGCAGGGCGAGCTCTTTGCAAGACCAGGTAAAAGGAAGTTGTGGTGCAACCGCTGCGGCTCGCAGGCATCGCCCTGCACGGTTGGGGCCGGCTGGGAGCTGTGTAGGGGCAACCAGGAGCCCCCCATGTACCGGAGGGGGGGTCCTGCACAGGTCTGGGAGAGGAGGATGCGGATGCTTGCAGTGCTGTGGATGCGGTGCTGGCATCTCAATGTCGGGTCTCCGGTTCCATTGCTGCTGCAGGGTGTCCCTGGGTCATGCTGCCATGGCTGTGCTGGGAATGCTGGGAGCAGGGGTGATGGATTGGGGAAGCTTCCTGGAAAGTCTGGCTGTGTGGCTGCACATGAGGTCTTTGAGCCAGCTGGGAAGCTCTTCCCTATATCTCGAGAGGCAGCTAAGAGGGTGTTTCTGCCTTCTTCTGTAGCCCTATTTCTCCCGTCACTCCATTAACAGAGCCTGAAAAGGGTTGTGCTTTTTGGTGGGACAAAGCTGGGAAGTCAATTGTTCCGAGTCCTGGAAGATCCCATTGAATCAGGCATGGGCATCATCCATAAATCACTGCTGCCGGTGCAGTGTCCGCCGTGTCTCACAGGGGATGAAGCTGGTTCATGGGCTGACCCCTGTTAGTGAAGGGAAGAGGGGAAGGTTGGGACACTCAGGAGGTGTCCTATGGATCCAGCACTGCTGCCCCAAGAGGCTGGGGGCTCCTCGCTCTTCCTTATCCCTCTCAATAGCAGGAACCCATGGATTCTTCTTAGCAGCAGGAAGAGAGAATTTGAGGCATTGGGGAATCTGCTTCTGCAAACTCCCACCCCCAAATAATCCCCCCCAAAAGCAGTGAAATGGGAAGTGCCCCAATAACCCTTTGCATCGGGACAAACGGGTTGCTTCGGAGCAGTCTCCTCCACTGCAGCAGCACCATTTCCCTCTTTGCAAAGCCCTGATACCCATCTCTGCCAGCCTGGTGATAAAGGCTGATCCTGCCACCAGGTCGCCTTGTTTGCTGCCACCTCTACCTTAGAGCTGCACCGCAGCTCTTGCACAACACTCGCCTCTCAGGGCCCCTCTCCACTGCAGCTCAACAACGCTATTTCCTCCTTTTTCTGCATGACATCTTCTGTTTGTGCAGCTTCTGCTCCGGGCACCTGCATGAGCCCCCCCTCTTCTATCAGAGACACCACACTGGGGTTGGCTCGCTCTTGGTCACCGCTGCCTCCATCCCCACCCATTCCTATGGCAGGATGCTGTGCCCAGGGGCTCCCATCCCTCTGGGCAGCATCGGTGCACAGAGCCGGTGGCACAGCCCCATGGCGATGGGGATTGTTTTCCTGCTGACTCAGCATCCCGCCTGCATGGATTTGCTGCTCGGAGCTGCAGATTGCTCCCCATTTCCTGGGCTCTCTCTGGCACCGCATCCACTTTGGGATTCCTTTCTGGTACGGTTCCCAGGGACCTGGTGCCGTGCATCCAACCCTTTGTGGGTGCTTTGTGGGGTGCCCCATGCTGCTGAGCAATGCGGTGGGATGCGGACATTGCTGTGATGGGGCTGTAAGCTGTCCTTGCCCTGGCACATCACAGCGGCTGTGGTGCTGTGATTGAGTCCATCTGCACCTCCCGGTATTCCCAAGGCCTGGAGCTCCTGGCTGGGCTGTTCTGGTCCTGCTCCATGCCCTGGGGCTGGAACGCTGCACCCTCCTTGTCACACTGGGTGACGCTTGTGCTTGGCAGCGTCCCCATGGAGCAAGGTGCAGCGGTAGCAGTTTGGCTTTGCTTCCCATGTATTAATCCAGGAGGATGGGGAGAGGCAGCCGGAGGTTTGGGCAAGGCTGGGAATGGGACCTGTGAGGCAGAGGAGGGAAACCTCAGCTCCTCCTTTAAGCCATGTGTGGGGCTGGGGCTGATGCTCATTTCTATGGGGAAGGGATGGCTATGGAGATGCTTTGGTTTTCAGCAAGGGCAGGCAAGTAAGGATAACCCTTGGCAGGTTATCCCTGCCCTCTCCCTCTTGTTAGCTTGGCTGCATCCATCCCATTGCCATCCCAATTGGCGTTGATGCATTGGGATGGCTCCCTGTGGAGCAGAGCACCCACCTCTCGCTGTCCTTGCTCCGCAGGGTGATGTGAGAAGGAGCCCGGAATGCCGTACCTGGACCGGCAGAACCGTATCTGCGGCTTCCTGGACATTGAAGAAAATGAGACCTGTGGCAAGTTCCTGCGCAGGTATTTCATCCTGGACACCCAGGCCAACTGCCTCCTGTGGTACATGGACAACCCCCAGGTACGCACCGGCGCTGCTCCCGGCTCCGCATCCATGGATGCTGCGGTTACAAGAGAGAGAAGGGGTTTTCCTCGTCGCCTATGGAAGCGGTGTGGTGCTGCAGGCATCAGACTGGGAGCTGGGTGCTTGGTGGGGATGGAATCAGTGCTGCTTGTGCCCAGCATCTGGAGCTGCCCCAGTTGAGCTCAAAAGAGCCGGGGTTGGCAGCAGCGTTCCTGAGGAGCATCACGCAGTGGGTTCCTCACTAAAGGGAAGGGGAGATGCCTGCAGGGATGCTGATGGGTAGCCCGGACCCTTGTACCGTCTCCCTGTCATTTAACTCCTGTTGCCTTGCAGAACCTGGCCATCGGTGCGGGAGCTGTCGGCTCCCTGCAGCTCACCTACATCTCCAAGGTAATGTCCCTTTTGTCCCTGTATCCGTGCGGCTTTCCCGGGAGAGGCAGCGGCTCATCCTGCTCCTGCAATGGGAGCCTGAGTGCTAAAGGGCAGCACCCTGAAGGATGAGTCCTTTGGGAAGCTGTTTGAGTGTCTTAATGGCATTATCCAGCTTCCACGGGGGGGCAGATGAAGTGCAATAGGTAAGAACCTATTGGTGACTGAGATGCGTGGATGCCGGCTCAGCTCCCTCTGGAGCCGGATGGAGCATGGGGCAGATCTCCCTGCTCCTGCTGAATCATGACTTATAAATTAAGCACAGATGAAGCAACGCCAGAGCTGAACCTTCCCCATTTCGCTCACAAATTCCATGTGTTTTGGGCTAAATGGAAGTTGCTGCAGGACGAGGTTTCGGGCACAAACTCAGGGCTGGGTTGTGCTTTAGCTGCCCCAGCTCCTCATTGCCCTTCCCTTGGCTCCATGCTCATTGCTGGGGGAATGGGAAGCATGGCCTGGCTTGGAGCTCGGGGACCAGCGGCTTCCCCTCCATCCCAGGGATGTGGATGGAGGCACCCGGCTCTCCCATCGCATTCCATCACCTTCAGTGTTTTCCTCCCTGTGCTCTGCTGCAGGTCAGCATCGCCACCCCGAAACAGAAGCCCAAAACCCCGTTCTGCTTTGGTGAGTGAGGGGACCCCGGTGGGTGCTGTGTTATGGGTGCCCCCCCCCCACCAGGAGCCCTCCCTATGCTTATGGGACCTGCCAGCAGTGGTCAGGAAGGGAGGGGGATGCTCCTGTTTGGTCCTGTCACTGTGACCCCCCTGTTCAGTGGGGAGGCAGGACCCTGGGGGTCCCCTTTGTGGTGCTTCCCTGCCTCTGCTGTGCTTCCCAATCCCTCCCATGTGTCCCATGCGCAGTACAGGGGTCTTCTCCTTTCTAATGCCTGCATAAGCTCCTGTCCTTGTTGGTGCATTGGCGTGGTGCATCCCATCCAACCCTGTGCTTCGTGTATGAGCCATGACCTTGGGTTTTAAGCACCAGCAACGACAGCACAAGCACATACTTGTCCCAAGGGAACGGCGTTGCCTTTGCATCACTTCCCCACAAGGGATATAGCCCGAGATGAAGAGTCCCATGCGAGAGGTTGGGACTGATACCTGCAAATGGGGTCGGGGCTGGGAGGAGCTCTTTGGTTCGCTCTTTATTGTATTCAATGATGCAAAAGCTCTGGATTCCCTGGCTCCTCTCTCCGCAGTTATCAACGCCTTATCCCAGCGCTACTTCCTGCAAGCCAGTGACCAGCAGGACCTGCAGGACTGGGTGGAGGCTCTGAACAGGGCCAGTAAGATCACGGTGCGTTGGGTTCTGCTCCAGCTGACACTGCTGGCTCCTGCCTTGATGGGCCTCAGAGCCTGCTGCGGTACCAGCCTCAAGCTGCACCAGGGCAGGGTTAGGTGCTAGGATCCTCATTGTGACCCCTCTCAAGTGTCTGCCTTCAGACAGGGGATGTTCCCCCCCTTCACCATCCCTAGGGATCCTCCTGGTTGGGGTTGACTTTGCTGCTGCTTGCTCCTGTGTTCACCCTCCCTGCCCCGCTGCTGGGATGGGATGGGACACACACAGTGGGTTGTTCCATGGGAGCCATCCCCATCCTCATCCCGCTTGCTCCAGGGCCGTTTCCCTCCTGTTGGAGGGACTGTAACCCACTCCAAGGGCATCTTCCTTGTGCTCCACTCATTTAGTTACTCCCTCTTCACTCTTTGTGGGTCACGGGGGTTTGTGATGAGCTGCAGCCAATGCCCTGTGCTGCCGTGCATCACGGTGCCTGCATCCGCAGGAACTCATCCTCAGTCTCCTCTCATTTACTGCTGTGTTCATATAACCATGAATTCATGGTCACTGACCCAGTACCAGTGCTCCTCAGCCACCCGCAGCTCCTGGCGATGGGGATCCCATTCCCATGCAGCGGGAGCAGCTCCATCTGAGTGTGATGCTCAGCTATGGACACTGGGGTATGGGGGGAAAGATTGGGGTGCTGCAGGCATCTGTGTGACTGCAGTTAGCAGTATTGCCATGCTCAATGCTAGCAGGGGTTTATGAGACCATGCACTGAAATGTGGCTTGTAAACTGTAAGGGAAAATCATGGCAAACCATTGGGGATCGGGCCCTATCCAATAACTTCTTAGTTTAAAATCACTGCGGTGCAGTCGCTGTGGGGAAACCAATGTGCAAGAGCAGGCCTGGCTTCTCTTTGCTTCTTAGGTCTACAAAGAGCATTAAATGCCACAACCTCAGCACCGAGCTGAGTGCATGGGCTCAGGACACATGGGATTGAGTGTGTGAACCCCCTGCAGGCGCTGCAGCTCAGCCACACATGGGGCTCATCATTAAACCAGGTTGTAATTAGAGCAGGGCAATTAAAGGAGTAAGTCCCACAAAGGCGCTGAGCTGCACTCACAGGCTCATGTGAGGTGATGCTCCATGGTTCTCACACCTCGTCTCCCATCTTTGCCTCCTGCAGACCACACCTGCCCTAACCGGGGTGGCTTGCTCATCGGGTGGGTTTCACTGCTTCAATGGGGAGGATGGAGGTGATGGTCACAGCGGAGCCTTTCACCCCTTCCCTTCTCCAATAGGTGCCAAAGGGTGGTAGCATCCCAGCGGCCACAGAGATCAGGAAGCCTCCCGTGGTGCTGCAGGCGCAGGAGAGGAAGCCCCAGGTCGCCTACAAAACTGAGATCATCGGGGGGGTGGTGGTCCACACACCCATCTCCATCAACCAGGTGAGCAGCCAGGATCCCCATCCCAGGGCTGAAATCCCTGCGATGCCAGTGCCCTGCTTTGGTCTCTTTGTTCTTTAAGAGCCCCACTGCTAAGGGAATGAGCATCAAAGGATGCTGGAGAGGGGCTCTTCATCAGGGACTGGAGTGATGGGACAAGGTTGATGGGTTCAAACTGAAACAGGGGGAGTTCAGGTTGGATATGAGGATATAAGCTCTTCCCTGTTACAGGGTGCCCAGAGAAGCTGTGAATGCTCCATCCCTGACAGTGTTCAAGGCCAGATTGGGTGACACGGTCTAGTGTGAGGCATCCCTGCCCATGGCAGGGGGCTGGAACTGGATGATCTCAAGGTCCTTTCCAACCCAGACCATTCCGTGATGCTGGTTTGGGCTCTTGGTTTGTGCTTTCATTTCTGGCAACCAGCTCGGTGCCTGCAAACCCTTCCCCACTGTTCAGGGCTGTATAAATAGCTGCACTTAGCACCCTTTGTCCTGCTCTGAAGCGTGAGGAGATGAGGAAGTGTGAGGATGAGGAGGCTACAAATCATCCTGACCCATCCGCATCCCTCATCGAGGCACCTGGGGCAGAGGGACCCCAAAGCCAAAGGGACCGATCCATCCCCTCTGTGCCCCCTTCCTTTCGTGGCTCTCGGTGTCTCCCACCTTTGGGCACCCATCTGGTGTTGGGCCTCGCTTCATCTCTTATCAGCACTAAAAATAGAGCAGAGGAGGAGGTGGTGGCAGTGGTTTTCTGCTGTCTGCAGGCGGTTGGCAGCAGCTCTGGGACTTTTCCTCTTTGTCTCCGTGGGTTAAAGCTGCTCTTTCCTCCTGCCTTGGCTCTGCACACACCCCCCCAGCAGCCCCAGCTCCATCCTCACACAATTCCTCTCTTTCCCAAGGGGTTTTAGAGTGGGATCACTGCTGGACCCGCCAGCAGCATCCCTCCATTGCACCAGATCTGCCTTTGGACACGTGCTTCGTCTCAACCATCCTCTGCACTGCCAAAGGGAAAGGGAGGGCGCTACCAGGGACAGCATGGAGGAGCCAGGGGTGATGCTGAGAGCAGGATCTGGCCCTTGGGATGTGCAGGGAAGTGCTGGGGGTGAGCCCAGGGATGGGCGCTGGGTACATGGCCGTGTGTCCCCCTGCACAGACAGCTTGCAGGTAGGGGAAGGTCAGCTTTTCTGCCTGAGCTCCGGCCACCTCAGGCTCCTCCGGGAGGATTTGGCTGTGGAATTGTGGAGACCTCACCACTTTCCTGAGTGTATTCCCATGACACATCCCCTTGTCCGGCTGGAAAGCATCCCTCCTTCCTAACCTGGGTTTGTCCAGCTCCAGCTTCCTTTGCTCTGCCTCCCATTGCCGGATGAAGGAGCTCCTTGGGCCCTGTATCCCCCAGAAGGTCTGTGCTGCAGTGGATTGACCTCTCAGTGTGGGATAAGCTGGGCAGGGAAGGGATATCCTTTAACCCCACTGCTGCAAGGGGTTTTCTCAGCCCTCAAATCACTTCTCTATCACCTTTGCAACTTCTTCACGTTGCTTTTAACATGTGGGCACCAAAAGGGTGAACAGCTCTCGGCCAGCAGCCTGCATGCAGTGAGGCATCAGCTCTGCTTCATCACCCAGGCATTGCAACCAGGCCATGGCTCAGTGCTCGCTGCTGCTCTTCCCTCCATCCTAGCAGGGACCCCCCATCCCTGCTGTCCCCATTGACTGTGTGCTCTGTTCCAGAACGGGGGGGATGCAGGGGACGGTGGTGATGTGGCTGCGCATCCGCTGCTGCGGCGCTCGCAGAGCTACGTCCCCCCCTCGGCCACCAAGGCACCGGCCGGGCCCCCCCCACTCAAGAGTGGGTACTGCGTGAAGCAGGGGAACGTGGTGAGTGCTGGGGGGCAGCTCAAGGTGGGGCTGTGGGCTTCCTGCACCCCTTTAGGCTGGGGATGCTGCGGGGATGCTGCGGGGATGCTGTAGGGATGCTGCGAGGATGCTGCGGGGATGCTGCGGGGAAGCTGCGGGGATGCAGCTGCGGGGACGCTGCGGGGACGCTGCTGGGATGCAGCGGGGATGCTGCGGGGATGCTGCAGGGATGCAGCAGGGATGCAGCGGGGATGCTGCGGGAATGCAGCGGGGATGCTGCGGGGAAGCTGCGGGGACGCTGCGGGGATGCTGTGGGGATGCTGCGGGGACGCTGCGGGGATGCTGCGGGGATGCTGCGGGGGTGCTGCAGGGGTGCTGCGGGGATGCTGCGGGGATGCTGCGGGGATGCTGCGGGGATGCAGCGGGGATGCTGCGGGGATGCTCCAGATGCAGGAGCAGGCACCCCAGAGCCCAGCACTGAGCAGTTTCCACCTCTTTTATCCAGAGGAAGAGCTGGAAGCGCCGTTACTTCGTTCTGGATGAGTTTTCCATCAGTTACTACAAGTGTGAGCAGGTGAGCAGCCCGGGATGCTCCACAGGGGCACGTCCCAGGCCAGGCAAGCCCATCAGCATCTCCTCTTGTCGCCACAGGACAAGGAGCCCCTGCGTTCCATTCTCCTGAAGGATGTCTGCAAGACCCATGAGTGCCTGGTCAAGTCCGGGTAATGCTCTGTCCGTGTTGCCCTGCTGTAGCCCTGGGTCTGGAGGGAGGTTACCTGCAGGCAGCAGAAGTTGCAGTGTGTGTGTAGCTGAAGGTCTGTGGGGAGCTGGAGTCTTCCCAAAACCCCAATGAGATCCAAGGTTTCCCCTTGGATAAACCCAATCACTTTCCATCCACAATGGTTTCTGGGCAGTGACTGTCTCCTTTTGTCCCTAGCGACCTCCTGATGCGGGACAACCTCTTTGAAATCATCACAACCTCCAGGACCTTCTACATCCAGGTGAGCACCGGGGCCAGTTGTGTCTCTGGGCATTAAGCTATGCTCTCCCCAGCCTGTGCTGCTGCAGAGGGGCTGTTCCCCAGCAGCCTCTTACCCCCAAACACCAGATGAGGCTGTGGCATCTTCACCCAGAGCTGCGTGGTTTCACTTCTCCCCTTGGGCTTATTTATACCAGCAGCGATTTGTGTGAGCAGGAAAAGCAGAGCCCAGCACAGGGAGATCCAAGGAGCAGGTTTTGCCCACTCTCTTCCATTGCTGGAGGCAGCAGCACGCTGGGGATGCTGCGTGCTTGGTACCCAAAGAGCAGCCAATGTGCGATGCTGAGGATGCAGGTCCCCATGCGCACAGGGCTCATGGCAGATACAGACCCATTGGTAACACCCCAATTCTTGTCCTTTAACTGCTTTATCTATTCCTGATATGAAAATGCTGCGATGTGGAGAGTGGCCCATGTTCTACAGGGGAAGATGGGGTGTTGTGGTGATGTTTAAGCAGGGATGTTAGTACCAAGCCTAGCGCAGCCTGCCCATCTGTGGGTCCACGTGGTGGGGATCAGGCCCCGTGGCAGTGGGGGCTTGCAAGGAGGCAAAGCCTCACTGGGGCTGGTGTGTTTTGCAGGCAGACAGCCCTGAGGACATGCACAGCTGGATCCGAGCCATCACAGGGGCAGTCCAGGCCCTGAAAACCCGCCCCAGGGTAGGTCACATCCCTTGTGCTTCGTGTGTAGTGCCAAATGAGGATCATGCCAATGTAAGAGACACCTGTTTAGTGGATGGTGATAGCGCTGGGTACCCGCTTCCAGGAGGAGATCCCTGCCCTCTCTGTGTTCATTTCCTTGGAAAAGTGAATATCTCCCATTGAACAGGACTGGCACAATCCCTGCTCTGCACTGAGGCACGAGCAAGAGCCCGACTGATGGCAAAGAGCTGTTTAATTCAGACTCCCAGCTTGCTTAGGGCTATGTTATCCCCTTTCAGCGTGTAAAGGGCCTGGTGCTGGTCCCCAGACAGCTCCCAGCACCGCATGCCCAAACCCACCCCTGTCCTTGCAGGAGATGTCCTTCATGCGATCCACATCCATGGGGAGACCCGGGGGCTCCTCATCCCAGCCCCAGCAGAGGCCGGTGGCGGAGGAGCGGAGGGCGCTGTGCCGGGTCCCTGCCACCTCCTCCTGGCAGCCCTGGACACCGGTGCCAGGGAAGCAGCCGGAGGTGCTCCGGGACTCTCTCTTCACACCGGTCCTCACGGAGCGCGATGCCGGCACCGCACCGGGCACCCGCGTGCGGCACAAGTCGGAGCCGCAGCAGCTCAAGGAGAAGCCTTTTGCCTTCGACCTGGATGATGAAAGCATCCGGACCTCCGATGTGTGAGCGGGGCCATCCCCAGCTGCTGGGGGGGGGTCGGGGTGTGCAGCGTGCCCAGGATGCTCCATGCGTGCGCTCAGGACCGAGCTCACTCCCATCCTCTCAGCGGGGTGAAGTGGCCCCATCCCTCCATCACTTGTGATGCAGGATCCGGCTGGACCCGCATCCCAGCACCCTGGGGAGCCAGATCCTGCCTGCTCCCCACCCAGTGCCTCCCTGTTTCAGAAGCTGCCTCCGTGCTGGTCCCCAGCATGGCCTGGATGAGAAGGGGGCATCTTCTGCATCCTCATAATTCTCCCTCCAAACCCAAGCGTGGAGGAAGCATCAGGAGGTCTCGGAGGTGGGAAGGGGAGCGTGGCCTTTCTTCTGTTTGGGACAAAACCCATTTTTTCTCCCCTTTTGTGCTGCTCATCCTTCCTTGGGCAGCTGGACAGAGCTGCCTGTGGATGGACAACTGCAGCTTCCCTAGGAGAGCAGCTCTGCGTGCTCTGCTGCATCAACATCCTTGTTGGCTCTGAATGATGTCCTTTGATACCTGTGGCTGCTGTTAAACCCCAGCCCCGGCTCAGCTCCTCCAAAAGGCTTCTTGGTACCTGTGGAGCAGCGGTGGCTCTGGGGATGCTCAGGGATGGGGTTGGTTTTGCTCTGGGCACCCCTGCCTGGGGGTGAAGTGCTTTGAGGAAGCAGCGATGAAACAGGAGTGTTTAATGGCACCGGGAGGCCTCATTGCTGCAGCCTTGATGTGAGAATGAGCAGAAGTCCTCTGTTCAATGTGAACTTGTCATCTCCATACCCAAACCAGCTCCTGTAGCAGGTGTGATAAATAGGGTATGGATTCAGGCATTCCTTGGGCAATGAGATTGTTATCCTCATCCTGAAATGCATGTGCAGTACTTGGGTACCAGTGAGGAAGCAGCTCCCCATCCCTGCTGTCAGCATCAGGTTGTGTTGGTGTGACCTAAGGCCCTCAGTGCCTTGGGTTAGTGGTGGGGTGATGATCTTGGTCATGTCCTTGCACTGTGGAAAGCAGCACATGTAGGGATGGGAAAGCTTTCCTCTTTTGTTTTCCTTTCTTTTTCCTTGTCACAACACGTTCTCAGCTCATAGATCCGGTGTGTCCTTGCCCTTCCCAGGGCTCCAGCTCAGCCTGGGATGGGGCAAAGCTTTAGCAATTGAGCTCTGAGGAGCCTGACTGAGCTTAACAAGGTTAAAACTGCATCTGCCTGCATCAGGGGGGCTGCTTCAGGCAGGCAGCCTGCGGGGAGGCAGTGACAGGACCCCCCTGAAGTCAGGGGTACACTCAGGGGGGTGCATGGAGATGCTGGAGAACACTGAAACTATGAAACCAAGCAGGAATCAATGCAAACGGTACAGGGTGAGTGTTTGTTATTTAATTGTAGAACCCTAGATCATGCTCTTCCTTCTTTTGGCTTTATTTGCACCAGTGTTTGAGATATTTAGGCTGGCTTGGCTCCTGATGTGGTGGTTCGGGAATGGTTTAGGGATTGGGTCAATCACAGTCGCAGCACTTGGCACTGGTGCTCTGGCCTCGTTTCTGGATGCACCAAATGCAGAGGGATGGGGGTTATTTCGTGTGAGGCTTCAACCCCATGCAGTACCAAGTGCTGGTGTTGCTTGATAATTGCAGATTCCCGGGGCCTGGGATGGGAAAGCAGCAGCTTGTTGCACAATTAGGGTTAATTATGCAGGAGGAGAAACTACCAGCGGCTCCAGCGCTGTTGCAACATCCCCGTTTCTCATTCCCACCCTCCCCACATCCCCAGGACAACGTGAAGGCTGAATGTGAGACAAACGTGTCCAAAGCCGAGCCAGGCTCCAGCCTCATTGTAATATGGGTGGTGTTATAGGGAGGAATTTCTCTCCCATCCCAAAAGACCAAGCAAGTGGAGACGGACCTCGATGGAGCTTTGTGGTGATGTCTGAAGCAAAACTGCCGCCCCCCATCTCTGTGTGTGCTGTGGGTTTCCTGCTTTCCTAGGGATGTGTGCAAGGTTTGAGGTGTCTGGTGTGGGAAGAGGGGTGTGAAGATGCGTTTGCTCTTTCCTATGGGAACGCCAGGGTGGTTTCAGCTGTGGATTCAAGTGCTCTTAGTGCCGTGGGCCTCGCGTGAGCGATGCTGCATGGTGCCGGTACCCACCTCCCATCCCTCACCTGTAACTCCTGCAGGAGATGGACCCCCCCCCCCCTTTTTCCCTGTGTTTTTGAATAAAGAAGGAAATCCCAGTTGCTTTTCCAGGCTGTTTGCATTGTGTCTGGTGGGTGATGTTTGCCAGGAGGGTCTGAGCACCAGCGTCAGTGGGGAAAGCACTGAGTGGAGGGCAAAGGAGCATCACGGCTGCTGCTGTTAAAGAGGTTTTGATGTCGTTTCTCACTGCTAGAAAATGAGGGGACAGAGACTAATCCCATCCCTTGCTCCCCAGTGTGGTCCACAGCAGCCTCGTGCACAAGAGGAACGTGATGTCCTGCTGTTGGCTGGGCTGAGGACATGGGGGATGCTCATAACAATGGGCTTTTGCACATGGGATTGTTGGGATTCCTCTCCCTGGCTCGCTGTAGAATTCTTTCCCCACCGTGGGCTTTTCAGCACCGTTGTTCCAGTGGCCTGAGGAATGTGGAAGCTTCCCAATGGAGCCTCCCCCCCCCACCCCACACTGCTCTGAGACCTATTGAAAGCTGCCAAACGCAGATTACTCGTGACCTAAATGGGATCTGATCCCCATTCCCTAAAGAGGAGGCGTTGCTGCAAGAAACCACAAACCAAAACTGGAACGGGCAGAATTCCCAGCCCTGCTGCAGCTCCATTGGAGGCAGCAACAGGAGTAACAGAGGCAGAAATGAGACAATGGGAGGGTGCTCAGTTTGCAGAACCATGTGAGAACAGCGTGTGTGCATCTGCAGAGGTTTACATCAAACGGGACAGGATTTGTGCACGTATGGATTTTGTGTGTGGTTCTGGTTGTGACTTAACTGTAGCTTCCTCTTCCTGTTCTTAGTCAGCTCAGTAGCTTTCAGCCTGCATCTGGTGGGGCTTCTTCCTCTTTTGGCTGTCAGGCTGCTTGAAGCTCCTGCTCCTTTTGGTACCAGCACCCTGTGCACTGGGCTGGAGCTGGAAGGGGCACACAGATGGGAGCTCCAGCCCTTCCCTGCAGCTCTGGGTGCCTAAGGAGGCAAAGCTGGGATTTAACAGGTTTGTAAAACACAAATGGTCACCGCTGCAGGGTCATGGGATTTAAAGAACATGAGGCAGGGGAGGAGGAGGTCATTTAAATAAGCCCTGCACCACTCTACAGTGGTCACAGTGTCCTGTGGCTGATGTTTCTGTAGTATGAGCATGGAGTTACATCAACAAGTGTTGCTTTTGAGAAGCCTGGGCAGTGACTGTGATAGCTGCACCGTGGCTTTGCTTGCCTGCAAGAGAGCAGAAAGTGATTCTCCTGCTCACTCTACCCCACGAAACATGGGTTTAAACCAATAATGTAGAACTAATCCCTCCAGCAGAGCCTTTATAACATTGTGTTACTCAACCTGAAGGGCTTGCAAAGCCCAGGACCACAAACCTACACACCAGTGGCTGTGTCTTGGGTGGCTGGATGGACCCTGCCAAGACTGAAGGGACGTGGACCCCGCTCCTTCCAGGTTTTATTAAGGATTTGTTTGACCACCTTCAGATCCAGATTACTTCAAACAAGCAAAATAAGATCCTGAGCAAATCCGTGTCCAAGGTTTGTACATTAAGAGGAGTAATTGCTCTGCATGCCATGATATGGCTTCGGTGTGTGGCCACCGTCTGTCCTGATGCAGTGGGGTCCATCTGCAGCCCCCCTGAGCACCGCCGGGGTCCGCACAGCTCTCTCAATACACCGTGCACCAGTTGCTGCCGTCGCTGGGCATCAGCCCGCCGGTGATGAGCAGAATCAGATCCACGAACCACCAGATCCCCAGCCCGCCCAGGGTCAGCAGCTTCCCCACGGCGGTCCCGGTGTGGCCGAGGCAGAACCGATCCACTCCGAAGCAGCCCAGGAAGAAGGAGTAGAGCAGAGTGGTGATGAAGTAGTGGCCGGTGTACCTGCAGCGAGAGCTCGTTGCTTACCGCGGGGCTCCCTCCGGCGGGGGGCCGGCAGCGGTGCAACCGGAGAGGGGGGGGGGGAAGAACAAGGGGAACCGGAGATGGGAAGGGGGACACGGGGGGGACCGCATCCTACTTGACGCAGGGCCGGCTGCCCCGCAGGAAGCTCCTTGGCTCGGCGCACTCGATGCCGTCCAGCGCCCTGCACTGCACCCGCGTGTGATCCACCTCGCCGTAGGCCTGCCCGCCGAACTGCGGCAGCAACGGGCGCTCAGCTCGGGGCCTTCCTCCCTCCCTCCCTCCCTCCTTCCCGCCGCCCTTCACCTTCACGCAGCCGTGGCCCAGCTCCTGCTGCGCCGTCGCGTTCCCGCCGTGGTCCACCGGCTCCTCGCACTCCACGAACTCCTCGGGGCTGCGGGGAAGGCGGCCGGTGAGGAGGAGGAGGAGGAAGAGGAGGAGGAAGGCGAAGCAGCCGCTTCCCCCCGCCTCATCCCACCCCGGTGCTCACAGGTAGGTGCACAGCACCAGCGGCGCCTGCGGGTCGGTGTAGGCCCACGAAGGCGGTGCGGGCGGGTCGGGCTCGGTGCCGTTGTGCGGGAGCCCCCGGGACGCGCCGTGCAGCAGCAGCAGGTTACCGAGCAGCAGCAGGGCCTGCCCGCACAGCAGCGCGTACCCCACGGGCCCGCCGCGCCGCGGCGCCATGGCGGCGCCCGCTGCTAGGAAACGCTCCTCCGCCACCCCGCGCCGCTGCCGCCGCGATGGCCAATGGGAGCACGCCGTTTCGCACAGGGGGCGGGGAATAGGCGCTCGCAGCCAATCAACTAGAAGGAGGAAGAGGCTGCTAGAGAGTCTGCGGTGAGGTAAGGAGGAAGTGAGCTTTAAGCGAAGAGGTGATTGGCTGCTTGGGAGGGACGGACAGCCTATAAGCAAGGGTGGGGGCGTGGTCTCGGGACTGGCGGGGTCCGTCCTCTGCTCGCCGTGCTGGGAGGGGGCTCCCGGTCTCGGATCCCGGTCTCGGATCCCGGCTCCCGGATCCCGGCTCCCTGCTCCGGGTCCCGGTCCCGGTCCCGGTCCCGGATCTCAGCCTCGGCTCTCCGGACGCGCTCTCCCGCTCCGTGTGAGTTGCTGGGGCGCAGTGGGAGCCGTGCGGGACGCGGGTCGGAGCGGCCCAATGCCGGTGCTGGCGGAGCGAGGCTCCGCTGCTGCCCCGTGCTGCTCGCCCCGGTACTCGCGGTTCTCCACCTGCATTAGGGCGCACACCGTGTCCTCCTTCCTCCTCCCCCGGAGAGCCGCTGCCTGCACCGGGAAGGCGTCGTCGCAGCTCTCCCGTGTGGTGCCTGTTACGGGCAGTGGGTTCATCCGGGCGGGTAGCGCTCACCGGGGGTACCGAGAGCTGTTTCTCGGTGTTAATACCAACACACCCCCCGTCCTCGTGCCCCGGGCTGGAGGCTTCGGCTCGTTCGCTGCGGTGAACGAGGCCGCCGGGTGGGGGAGCTGCTGGAGCCGGGTTGTGTCCCGGTGCCTGGGGCAGCACCTTCGGTAGCGATTGAGAGGCAGCCGAGTGGCTTTGGGAAGAGCTTAACGGCTGCGGTGACGAGATACGAGCCAAGGCAGGAGCAGGCCATGGGCTGGAGGAGGCTGCGAGCCAGGGGCGGGGAAACAGCCTCTGTCCCCTTGAGCTCCTTTGGAAACAAATGGGAATCGCTCCCTTGAGCAAAATTCCTGTTGATGGGAAGACAGGGAATGGTTTCCAGGATTGGCCAGACCATCTCCCAGCCCCGAGGAGGAGCTAAACCAGCTTGGATGGTCAGGGAGCAGGTTGGTTTTATCGCAGCTGCTTTCCTCCTTGTACAAACCCATTGGCATAGGGAGACCCCCTTGTCTTGGCTGTTTGTTGTGCCTGGAGAGCTGTGAGTGAGGAGAAGGGCACGCTCTGCTCTTTAAGAGCAGGCTGAGGTCTGTTCTTGACCCTTTACATCGGAACAAGCTGTAGATCCTAGGAACTACATCCGATACAGGATTTAAGAGCTGGGATCCTGTCCTTAACTCTCTGCATCTGGATGAGCTGTAGATCCTAGGAGCTACATCTGATACAGTGTCTAACTGGAGGATCTAAGAGCTGGGATCCTGTTCTTGGCCCTCTGCATCTGGATGAGCTGTAGATCCTAGGAGCTACATCCAATACAGGGTCTAAGAACTGGGATCCTCTTCTTGACCCTCTACATCTGGACAACCCATAGATCCTAGGAACCACATCCAATACAGGGTCTAAGAACTGGGATCCTGTTCTTGGCCCTCTACATTTGGATGAGCTGTAGATCCTAGAAGCTACATGCAATACAGGATCCAACTACAGGATCTAGGAACTGGGATCCTGTCCTTGACCCTCGACATCCGGACAAGCTGCAGCCTGTTTCCAGCAGTCTTCCTCTGGCTCATTTTCTCTTCCCTCCTTTAATCCCTCTCCCTCGGTGCCTTGTGGTCGCTACACTGGAAATGCCAAGCACGGTTCTGGACAGGTACGTGGCTCAGCTGGAAGCCAAGCACATCACTTGATAACAGTGTGTTTGGGGAAGTGCCATTGCCCCTCTTTGGAGGTGCTGCTGTGCTCCCAGTGCCAGCTGGACCCTTCCCGCACATGGAAGGGTCCTGACTGCATCCAAACCCCTTCCTCTGTCTTATTTATGGTGCTTGTCAGCAAGCCCCATACACGTGGTAGGTGGAGAGGATGCAGGTTGGGGTTGGAGGGGGAACGTGACCCTTGGCTGTTTAAAACCACCCTTCCCCAGTACAGTTGGAGCCCAAGGCGCTTGTTCAGCATCCCTTGGGGAAGGGAGTGGAGCAAATAACCCCATGCTCCCAATGTAACGTGGGGTTTGGGGGAGGAAAGGCCAAAGAAGGAGGCGTTGTGTCCGCGTCCCCGTTCAGCTGGGCTGTTGCTGGGAGGTGTTCTGTAGTTCGAATGAGTTTTAAGCAGTCGCTGTGGGGTATATCGCTTGTTTACCTTCAATAACGGGGGGTTACGGACGCCTTTCCGCAGGCTCCATCCCTCGGCCGCTCTTTGCACCGCAGTCGCTGGGGCCGACGCGCTTCGGCTCGGCCACCGGCGCAGCCCCTTCCCCGGGCGGAGCGGAGCGGTCCGGCCCCGCCCCGGGGCGGTGCGGCGCAGGCCCCGGCCCGGCTCCATAAGGCCGCGGGCCGCCGGCCGGACCCAGCGCCCCAGCCGGGGGTGTGGGGAGGGACGGGGGCTGCGGTGATGCGGACGCGGAGCTCCATGGCTTGGGCCTGGGTTAGGACCTGGGCCCGGGCGGCGCGGAGCTGCCTCTGCCTCCTGCTGCTGGTCGCGCCCGGGCAGCCGGCCCGTGAGGGTGAGTGCGGCGGGGCCTGCTCCGACACCTCCCAACCTCCCCTCGGCCCTTCCGCGCCGGCCTTCGGGCCTCTCCTTCTCCCCTTCCCCTTGGGGCCCCGCCGGCGGGATCCGGTTGCCCCCGGCCCTTCGTCGGGGCTGGTAACTGCGGTCCCGGGGGGGGATCCTCCCCTTGAGTCCGGCACGGGGGTCCGGAGGGCCGCGGTGCTGTGCTGCGGGGCGGGGGGCGAGAGAAGGGGCAGCGGGGCCCTATAGCCGTGGGTCTGGGTCGTTGTGGAGCCAGGGCAGTGCCAGCGAGCAGTGAAGGGACAGCCGGCTCTGTCTGTGGGCTCCTAAGTTGGTGCCGTGCTCTCGGTATGGGCTGTTTATGTATTGAAAGTGTTCCGTTTATGGGCTTTTCTGGTGCCAAATCTGCTGTTATAGCTATGCCATAGGCAGAAACGTCTCCTCTGGTTGTTTTCCCCCTCCTGAAGGGATGTGTTAAACTTGCGTGCTCATCATTAATGCATAGTTTTAGATCAGGCATCCTAAGGGAGGGATCTCGGGATGCATCGCTTATGCTTTATGCTGAGCAACGGTGCTCTTGCATTGGGTATCCCTCCCATGCTGGTGGAGCAGGACAGCGCATTGGGAACTGCCTTGATGGAGCTCTGAGGAGGGAAGGCTTCAATGACCCATCTGCAGCATGCTGGATGCTCATGCTCCTGCTGCTTTGGTCAGTGTTTTGAGGGGTAATGTTCTAGTTCCTACCTGTGAGTGGGAGGAAATGCAGGTCCTTGAGGATGGGCAGTGGTTTTGCTGCCTTTGGAAGTCTCTGACCCAGCTAATTCTGCAGTGAGATCCCTTGGTCTCAGCATGAAGGAGAAGGGGAGAGGAACGAGTCGCCTGCCTCAGTTTATGCAGGGACTCCCAACTTTTGGGTTGGAATGGGAGTGCTTGGGATGCTCCTCACTAAACAGGGATATGAGACAGAAATGGGGTGTGCCCCACAACTATTAATGGAGAATTCCTGCATGAGCATAATCATCCAGGGATGCGTAGCCGCAAGGGATTTGTGTGGTGGAGATCTCCTTTGTGTCCATAGGAGGCTGGATAAACTCATCCAGAAACCGCCTGGCATTGCCCTAGGTAAGGACTGTGGCTTTGCTGCTCATCTCTTCCTTGCTGTTGGGTACCACACACCACCAGGATGGCCTCACTGTGCTTTACAGTTCTTAGTGTCTGTACCCTTGGTTTCAGTGTTTGACTGAGTCCTTGGTTCAGATCATGAAGAGCACAGCTCTGCTTCACCCAACCTGGGATGCTCATTCAGCAGGGTTTGTGGTTGTTTCCTCCAAGTGAAGACTAAAGAGAAGGGAGCTGATGCCGCCCCTTGTAGCGCTCTGCTTTCAGGAGGAAGTTGTAGTTTTTGCTTGTCTTGATTGTTCTCGTTTCTCAGGCTAAAATGAATGATGATAACAAAGAAGCTGATTTGCTCTGTTCTGTGGCTGGGTTTGGGTTGGGTGCTTTCCTTTGGTGGCTGAAGAGCAGCGTTCCCATAACCTCTGCTGCGTGATTCCAGCTGAGACCCACACAGCCCATGGGATGCGGAGGAAATGAGTGGGCTCTGAGGGCAAGGGGCTGCTCTCCATGGGCCAGGCTGTCACGGGTGTGAGATCCACTGGCCTGGGGTGGGGGGGGAGATGAATTGTCTTGCACCACAGAGGGTAACGTGGCTTTGCTCTGTGTCTCCATGAAGAAGGTTCCAAGGTGGTGAGGATGCTGAGACCCACCAGAGCGCAGGAGCCGTAGCTCAGTGTGGAACAGGAGTAGCTGCTGTCTCACAGACACATTAGGCTGGCTTTAGAAGGGGTAGAAGGAATAGAGTCTAGACAGGAAACTCTGACAGCATGGGTCAGGATTCCAGCAGGAGGGAGGTAAGGATTTTCTAGGCAGTATTGCTGTGGAAGAGCACGGTATCCTCATTAACCAAGAGAAACTGCATGACCTGCTCTTGCCAGCTGTAACGTTAAACCAGTATTCCAGGTGAGCACTAAATCAAAGTAGGTGAGTTTGCTTCTCTTGCTGTGACATTTGCTCACCTTTTCCTACCTTCAAAAAGGCCCTGTGACACAAGGAGACCCACTTGATCTGAAGCCTTAACCAGTCCCAGTTGTGTGGGCACACGAGAGAAGGATGTGATAGAAGGACGTAGCTTTGGAAGGACTGGTACAAAGTGTTCTGCTGAGGTGGATTAATCGTCTAAGGGTGAAATAATTGCAAGAGGGGTGCAGGAGCCTGTTAGGAGAGGAAATGAGTGTTAGAGTAGGTTAAACAACAAGTGAATCAGCCCTGCTGTCTGCTAGGGAAGAAAGATTAACCTGGGGAGATGCATGAGCACACAGCACACGTAAACCTTGGTACTGGTGAGGTCTCCCTGCACTGCCCTGTCTTGGTTTGAATCCCCTTTCTGTCTAACTGGGAAGTAGAGCCCAATGTGAATGTCAAAGAAATGGGTTCCATAAGGAAATACCAAGCACTGGTTTTTACTTAAAGCACCAGGGCAATCCATTGGACATCAGGATACTTGTTGGAGATCCTGGGACCCAAGGGTGGCTGTGTAAAGCCTTTGGCAGCTCTTCCAGTGAGCAGCCTGCTGCCTAAATGTCAAATGACTGGTGAGCTGACCTCAGCTATTAATTGTAGCTGATTATAACAGTGGTTAATTTAATGAGTTGGTGTATTTAATGCTTTAGCAACGTGCATCTTTGACTCAGATGCATGTGGCTAATGAGAGGTTAAAATCACTGCTGCTCACTGGGAGGTGAATTGGGGCAGCATCAGAGCGTTTGCTTGTTGTACAGGGTGATGCTCTCCAGTATCACATGTGGGGGATCCAATGGGGTGGTCAGAGCATAGGTGGAGCTGCACAGGCACTGCCTTGTCTCCATGAATCCAACCCTGCTCCGTGTGGGAAGGGCTTTTTGCCCTTCTGCAGCTGAGCCAACGATCTGCTGATGTGTATGGAGATGGGAGATGCAGCTTGACCTCTGCTGCATGTAAACCTTACCTGTGGTGGAATGAATCCTTATCTCAGCATTGGGAGAGCTGGAATGGCCTTGACATGTTCCAGTGGTTTTCAAGCTCATGCATGCCATGGAACATGCACCAAATTCCTGCTGTGGATTTGGGGCGGGAAGGGAAGGTGAGTCACATCTTCCCTGCTGCCTCCAATACTTGGTAATTAAAGTCAGTCTTTAATGGGACAAGATAAATATAGTGGATGTAATTGTGTTTTGCTCCTTGGAAGTACAGTCTCCAGTATTGTTAGACCCAGGAATGAATGATAAGAAGCACATTCATGGTGGGGATGTGAAGTGCAGCTCAGATCAGTTTTGGCCAGTGGCAGGAAGCGCCCAAGTACAAGTCCTGCAGAATCTGTTGCAGACTGCTGTGTTTGAGGACCATGCTTATGGTATTGCTGTGAAGCTTCTCCAAAGAGGTGAAAAAGAAGCCACAAAAAACTGTATAGGAAAAGAGAATGTGAGCATCTTCAGAGCTCTTATGTGGACAGCAGCTGAGTATCCATCCAGGTTGGCTTTTTGCTGTCACTTCTGCCTTTCCTCCTTTAATTCACTGCTGTGAATTAAACCACCTCTACTTTGGCTTGAAATATCCATATGAATTCTTATGGGTAATAAGTCCTGCCTGGCAGGTAGCATTGTTAACAGGGATGTGGTTGCAGGAACGCATCTGCTGATGCCTTCCCATCACACTAGAGCCCAGCGTTTCCCTACAGTGCTGTGGTAGCAGCAAATGGCCTTGTCCTGGTGGGAATTTCGCCTGTGCTAATTGGGTCAGGTCGAATGTGTCTCAATTCCCAGGGTGAGGGAAGGTCTGAATGTGTCAGCCACTGACAGGAGCATTGGGTGCGAGCTGGGACCGGGCTGCTGGCTTAGGGCCTTATCTCTGTGGGTGTTTCTTGGTAGGAGAAAGGCCTGTCCCTTCCTAACCAACCTGTGTGGGGGTGAAGCTTTACAGGGTTGTCTTTTGCATGTTCTCATTTCTGCTTTGTTGCACTTGTCCCTTTCACTGGATTTCTGATTAATGAGCCCAGTGCCCTCTTTGAGGGCTGCTGGTGATGCATGAAACATTGTGTGGGGCAGTCAGCATGGAAAGTGAGGGCTGGTGTGTGTTGATGCCTGCAGGAACGGTGCTGCTGTCCTGGGGGTGCTGCGCTTCCAGCCTGCGAGAACCCCACAGAACAAACCCCTTTGTGCATCAGGGGCTGGGGATCAGTTTGATTGTGTCCTGGAGCATGAGGGAAGGAAGGATGCCAGGAGAGGGAAGGGGTCTGGCAGTTAAAAGCAGAGCTCTTTGCAGTTAAGTCTGAACTTGTAATGTGTGGCTGCTCCTCTCCTGTTGGTTCCATTGGGAAGTGAGGTGGTGCCTTCCTACCCTTACAGTTTAGTTTGTTCATCAAGACCAACACATCCTCCTCCTCCAAGTTGTGCCCACAATGAAGGCCACAATTCCCTACACACTGAGGGTAGTGCAGGGAAGGTGAGACAGCAGCAAACAGGGGCTATTCCATGGTTGAAAGCTGCACTCTTGCCTCCAAGAGGAAGCCTCGCAGTGTTGCACCCTTCCCAGAACTCCCTCCCAGTCCTGCTCATTCCATGGGATGATTCACTCCTTTGTCTCATGCTTCCAAGCTGCTTTCTTGGGAAGCGTGCTCCTTTCCAAGCACCTCAATGGAGCCACCCCTGCTCCTGCAGCCTGTGTCCTGAGAGCCTCCCCAATTCCAGCGTCGCATCCCTGCTCACTGAAGTGCTTCTTGTTGGGAACAAGTGTGGAGCAGCGACGTGCGAGGAGCTCGGGGCTGGCTGTGAGTGGAACGTGTCATTGGGAGTGAGGAATGACAAGGGGCTGTTTGCCTAGTCTGTGCTTCTCACCCAGGGCAGGAAGCAGCCCTTCCCACCATGGTTTTCAGGCCAAGGAGGTGTTGCCATGGGCTTTCTGTAGCCTCTGACCTGTTTTCAGGAAGTTTATCTCGGCTTTAATACCTTTTTCTTCCCAGCAATCACTGTAATGAATGGAGCTTCTGCAGTGATGCTGCTGTGTGACCCCTGAGAAACAGCCTGTGCCTGTGTGGCAAAACTGTTGTGTTCAAAGCAGGCGCACTGCGATGCATCCGTGATCCCCAAATGGATGTGTATGTGATGGGGGAGATGTTGAGAGCCATCTGACTGCTTGGGGGATATCAGTGGGGAGGTGGCTGGTTTTACTAATGCAGGATCTCAGTGCATCAGTATCTCTGAGAGCTTTTGGAGGCTCTCAGCGAGCCCTAATGCATGGTGCTTGTTTCTGGAGGGTGACAAGGAGGATAACTGTTCCATTCCCCCTCCCTCCAGGTCAGAAGCTCAGGCTGCTGTGATGAGCTCACTGATTCCATCGCCAGGAGCTATTAAAACCATTGCTCTCAATGCCGCCTGCAATCCCTGAACCAAGCTCCTGCTTCCCAGGAAGCCAGGCAGTGGCCACAGATGAGAAAAGTCATTGACATGTGCAGTTTATTATGGGTTACACATTGAGACAGTTTCTTGCAGAAACTGCTGCCTTATAAAGGAAACTTGGACCAAACCTGTGTTTGCTTCGGAGCATCTTTCTGGTGGTGCACATGCAAAACATTTAGAAAGTGATCTGCAAATGCTGTGTGGGGCTTGCTTGTTTTAATAAGGTCCTGAAGAGCTCTCTAAGAACATAATGAGTAGCACTGGCCTCATGTCAGGCTTTGGCTATGATGGACAAGGGTGGGCTGGTTCTGCAGCCTCCCAGCACAGGATGCCTGGTTTGACAGCATCTTTCTGTGTGTCCTTGAGCAAGTTCTCTGTGCTGACCTGCTTTGGTAAATGCTCTGATTCCTGCTGATGGCAAGTGATGGTGGGTGCTAGGGACACTTGGGAGACAGTAACTGGAATGTGAGGCTTTCACTTTGAAAAGTGAATTTACAAGGCAGTCTGAGCATCCTTTGCTCTGAGGTTTGCTCTGCGAGCATCAAGGTCTGTGGCTTTTTCTGTTTGGGTCTGAATCCCAGACTGGTTTGGGTTGAAAGGAGCTTAAAGCTCCTCCAGCTCCACCCCCTGCCATGGGCAGGGACCCCTTCCACTGGAGCAGCTTGCTCCAAGCCCCTGTGTCCAACCTGGCCTTGAGCACTGCCAGGGATGGGGCAGCCACAGCTTCTCTGGTCATTTTCTTCCTTGTGCCTTGCCCTCCTTGTTTCTGCAGCCAGTGTTTCCCTTCTGCTTTCCAGGTTTCCAGCAGGTTTCTCTGTTGTCTTCCTATGAAGTTGTAATCCCACAGAGGTTAGGAAGAGAACGGCGAGAGGCTTTCAACGTCTCCTCTGTACAGGTACCTTAAAAATGCCTTCAGTTTAGCATCTACATCCTCACGTGTGTCCCCCCCAAAAAAACTGATCTGAATTCCCACAAAACCCTGTTGGGCTCATCTAGCAGCAAACAAGTCTATCCTTACAAAAGGACACGTCAGGACCCTGGTTGCTGTGTGCAGCTTTTGGCTAACACAAGCCTGTGGGGGTCCTGGCTCACTGCAAATGTTCAGCAATAGAACTGTGCTGTCCTTTTCCAGCTGTAACTAAGAGGTTTTTCTATGGAAGTCTTAAAAACAAGGAGTGAGAAAACCACAAAGCTATTTTGGAACAGCTTCTTCCTTCATGTGACTTTTCCCCAGTTACACAGGAAGCGATGCCAGGTTCCAGAGGTAGGGATAATAAAATAGGTTTCAGGCTCACCCACATGTGGCTTTTCCGTGTTTGGGTGCAATTAACTCAGTACCTAGCAGTCCTAGTGTATGGTCCTTTTGTGTGCTGGATATCAGGAGAGACAAGGGACCAGCACTGTGGTGACAGCAGGAGCCAGGGATTTATAATGATGTCTCTTCCTTGCACCTTTTTCTCCTTGGAAGCCCACTTCAAATGGGAGACCTGAACCTGCATGTTCTTGACTGAGATATTTGAAAGGAGTCTCTATAACCCTGAATTTAATAGCTGCATCTCCAGCAACTGCAGCTGTATTTAAGATCAGCATCACAGCCTGGCCTTGAGCTACAGAAGGTGACAGTGGTGCTCTGAATGCTGTGGTGGTGGTAATGGAGCTCACAGGGTGTTTTCTGCCAAGCTTTTTCTGATCTCAAAGAACATTTTCCTCATTAACATGAGTAAAATGCAACTGTTGTTTTCTACACAGGACAAGGTGTCCTATGCTGTTGAGATAGAGGGCAAAGAATACACGCTTCATCTAGAAAAGAACAAGTAAGTGATGAGTTCCTTTTCTGCAGGTATTAAACTCCATCTGTGTGTCTGCGTTTCGAGCTGGCAGGTAGCACGCCCTGACCCTTGAGGCTCTTTGAGGAGTACAGTTCCACACCAGCTCTGTGAAAGCAGATTGAGTCCCACAGCCTCGGCTCTCAGCCAGGAACTGTGTGGAACTCCTGAGCCCTGGTGATCCCATTCGCTGGAGGAAGCTGCCGTTTACTCAGAGGGATGTGGGGAATGGGGGGGGATGGACTCTCCATTCACATCTAAAGAGAAACAAACAGAGCTGGATTGCAAGTCAATATTTTCACTTTCTTATGGGGTTTGTTTATTGTTTCAGGGCTCTCATTTTTCCTGTCTCAGTAGCACACGGATACTACATGAGGAAGCTGACTGTATCTGAGGCCACAATACCCGTAACTCACAGACAATATAGATGTTGTCTGCCTTGAGTTTAGTTTACTAGGGCTACTTGCAGCACTGGCAAGTTAGAATCATAGAATCAGAATAGTTAGGGTTGGAAAGGACCTTAAGATCATCCAGTTCCAACCCCCTGCCGTGGGCAGGGACACCTCACACTAAACCATGGCACCCAAGGCTTCGTCCAGCCTGGCCCTGAACCCTGCCAGGGATGGAGCATTCACAACCTCCCTGGGCAACCCGTTCCAGTGCCTCAGCACCCTAACAGGAAAGAATTTCCTCCTTAGATCCAATCTAAGTTCCCTTTTATCAGGCTCTTAAAGAGCTCTGTCTTCAAACTGTCAAAAGACACGGAACTGTTTCACTGCACAAGCCCTTGGGGATCTGCAGCTGCCACTTGCCAAGCCCCTGACCTCAGAGACATGGGAATTCAGTGGGTTCACCACTACAGACCAGCACACTTCATCGTGGGAGACTTTCCCAATGCACTTCCTTCCGGAAGTGGGGAGGAGAAGTCAGACACAGGATGCTGAGGGCTGTGAATATTTCTTTTCCTGTATGAAATTAGCACAGTTTAATGGGTTCTGATGCTTGTTTTGCACAGCTGGAGTGAGGTGGTTGATTGGATTTCATTAAGGGTTCCAGCATTCTGATAGCTTGCATTTTGCTGTGGAAATTCCCGTTTTCTTTGTTATTTTTGGAGGGGTTTCCTTTTCAATGTCTCCTTATTTAACTGCTATTTGGGATGCTTTTGACAGGATCATCTTGCTAGAGTCATTCCATGCAATTCCTCCAGTATTCCTTCTCCCCTTTCCTTACAGAGAACTGCTGCCCAAAGATTTCACCGTTTATACCTATAACAAGGAGGGAAAGTTGCAATCTGAGCATCCAGATGTCCAGGTAGGGTTTCTTTCTTTTTGTACCCTTACCAAAGGTGACTTGAACCAACCTGGAATCATGTATTACAAGATGAAATATATGTTTTCCTTGTTTTCCCTTGTAGGATCACTGCCATTATCAGGGATACGTGGAGGGGAGCCTGGATTCTATGGTCGCTCTCAGCACTTGCTCGGGGCTCAGGTAGCACAACTCCTGTTTTGTGTCTCAGCTGCCACCTGAGTCTTGTATCTGCTGAGCTTGAAACAAAGCTCTTGCTCTGTTTTGAGCTGGGGTTCAGCAGTGGGTGCCTTTGGGCAGCTTCTCTGCCCCAACACCATTTCAACTGGTATTTGCAATGCCATTGAGTAAGTTGGTTGATGGCAGTTGAATCAGTTGCTCTGTGACACAAAGTTGGCTTGTTCTGATCTGTGTAGATGATCACTTCAAAGAGCTGTGCACAGTGCAGGACTGGAGCAGGGAACACCAGTGTGTTCCCATTTGACTGCTCTCAGGCCTGAAATGAAGCCTACTGGTTTGCCAGGACTGAGATATAGACATGCCTTTAGATACCAAAGAATAACTGTTCTTGTGTTTTACTGTAAGAATCTGGGTGAATAGCCTCTGTGCTTAACGAGGATTTCTCATCCACTGTTACATTTTAGGGGCATGGTGATGATGGGGAACATCACCTATGGGATTGAGCCCATGGATTCCTCTTCTGGCTCTGAGCATATTTTATATCGATTGGATAACGTGAAGAAAGAGCCCACAATGTGTGGAGTAACTGCTGAAGACCACGACAGTGAGCACAGGGAGGAAGATCACCATCCCAGCATGACTCAGCTGCTGCGAGTAAGTGCTGCACTGTTTTCTCCACAGTAATGAGTTCTGGAGTGTTCACCTCAGAGTATGGAAGCAGCTTATCGGATTTCCTGGGGCTTAGCACATACCTAAAGGCTTCTGATTGAGGCCTTCCTACGCTGCTGGGAAACTCAGTTGCTTCAACAAAGCAGTTGCAGTTTCTTTCTCCATCTGCCTACAGCAGCGAGAGGCGAGTGGCTGCTTGCATTATTCACAGGCAGAGCTTTGTGGGGCTTTTAAGGGCAGGAACACTGCCCTCATTGGAGAGGCTCATTAACAAAGTATTGCATCGGGAGCCAGGAGAATATTATGGTGTTTATTCCATTCTCCTAATCATCAGGAGAACAGTTTGGTGTGGAGGTCCCTGTGTTGTTTAAAGCCTGCCTGCACAGGAACACGATTGTGGTAGAAGGTTGAGTATGAAAACCATCACGTTTCACTTCAAGGTTGTTGGCATTTGCTTGTTAGTGTCTTCCAGCTGCTTTCTTCCCAAAGAAACCTGTGTGGAAAGGAAAAAGATCCCTTGCTTTTGAGACAGGAAATCTTTGTGCTGCTAAAGTTGAAGGTGAAACACTTGCAGAGAAGCTGTCATTGTGTTGGCTTCCACCTCATGGCTCTGGTTACAGTCTTGGCACGCTGTGCTTTGGGTGTGCCTCAAGCCACCCTCTGGATCACGTGAAGTTTGATGATGTCAGGGTTATGTTTTTGGTTTGCACTTGAATTCCTAACACTGAAGCTGTTGCAAACTCTTCTCCCCAGACAAAGAGAGCAGTCCTACATCAAACCAGATACGTGGAGCTCTTCATAGTTGTGGATAAAGAAAAGGTAAAGCTCATGTGTTGTTCCCCCTTCCTTCTTCCCAAGGGCTGGCTTGAAAACCCCTCAGTCTTCATTACTGCCAAATGGATCGTGGAAAGACACTGACACTGTAGCCAAGGTTATGCACATGCACTAACCTAAATCTTGAGTATCAGCGTGCTCCCTGCAGTAGTCTTCAGGAAAAGAGTGAACTGTCAGACATGGAGAGCTTCTATCAGCAAGGAATTTCAGAGTGTAAGGAAAACACGTGGCAGCACCTGCCTTTGCTGCCTTCTCTTCCCTATTGACATGTTGAGCAATAGCAATGAAGATGCTGCTGTCTTGATTAGCATAGAAGCACAGAATACTTAGGGTTGGAAAGGACCTTAAGGTCATCCAGTTCCAACCCCCTGCCATGGGCAGGGACACTGCACACTAAACCATGTTGCCCAAGCCTCTGTCCAACCTGGCCTTAAACACTGCCAGGGATGGAACATTCACTTCTTTGGGCAACCTGTGCCAGTGCCTCACCACCCTTGGCAGGATGTTTGAGCAAGGCCAGGGTGGTTTCCATGTTAACTAGTCTTTAAATGCTTCGTTCCATTCCAACTTCTGTCTTTATCTCTTCTCTTCATGACCAAGTTTCTTTGTCTTGCAGTTTGAAGACTTTGGGAAGAGTGAAACAGAAGTAAGAGAACACATGGTGCAACTGGCAAACTTCCTTGACAGTGTAAGTTAAAGCTGGGTTAAGTGATGCTGTGTGCGGTAGCCCTGCACTTCTGCTTCCTTCTGTCAGCTTTGACCTTAGAGTGTTCTGATACTGCTTTGGTGAGGATGAAAGAGGGGGTTTTGTCAAGCCAGGAGCTAGAGCTGTTCCCTCAGCTGTGATGTTGGAGCCTGAGTGTGGTGCTAAAGCAGCACCACAGTGGAAACCCAACCATGGTGTTCCAAACCAGCAAACCCAACCAGAAGAAGACGATTCTTGCAGTAAGCGATAGAACACCAGACACTGCTCTTACATTTCTCCGTGTCTCCCTTCCCCAGATGTACATCATGCTGAACATCCGTGTTGTACTGGTGGGTTTAGAGATCTGGAAGTATGAAAACATCATCAGCACGGATGGAGGAGCTGGTGATGTGCTGGCAAACTTTGTGCAGTGGCGAGAGAAGAACCTTGTTTTGCGCCGGAGACATGACAGTGCCCAGTTTGTCCTGTGAGTGGCAGTTCCTTCCCTCTCACTCCCAAGAAGCTCCTTCTCTTCCTGCCTGCTCAGCTGTAGTGTGCTAGCAAAAGTAGCTGCTGTATTTCAGCAGAGAATCAGTGTAGTCTGCTGTGGTGTAGCTACTTGGTAAAGCTTCCCAAATCAGTGTTAAGTGCTTTTCAGAAGGCTTCTGTGGTCCTTGAATTCAATGTCCTCCCTGAGTGTTATCTTTTTGGCTTGTCTCAAATGGCCTGCAGTGTTGTGTGTTGCATTGTGTAAAGCTTCCGCTCAGATAATCCTTTATTAGGTTGTACACTGGTTTGTCTTGTCATCTAGGGCTGCTTCCACTTGAAAATGGGCAGAAACCTGATGCAGAGCACTGCATTTTAATGGAGAGAAGGTTGTTCCTGCAGCTGGTGCCCAGAAGCTGGCTGCATGGTTTGAGCTTTGAGAACATTGATCTGTCTGTACTGCCTTAAGCTAGCACAGGGCTTCCTATCCTGTTGTCTCTGCTCTTCCAGGGCATGTGCCCCTGTGCACTTCCTGCTCTGTAGATAGCGTGGCCTTTAGGAAGTCACTGCTCAAAGCAGGCAAAGGGCAGAGGGAAGATGCTTCCCCCCGTGTAGAAACAAGTTAAGAGAGTAATGAGGAGGAAGCTGACAAGGAAAGGAATCAGTGGAGTTTGGCAGTAATAGAAAGGCAGGGAACAGCCAAGGAAAACAAATGATTTTAAGGGTGGACCATTCAGCTCTTCATATTTCGAGGGAAGATGCCAACTTTTTCTGCAAACTGTTGTCTGAATTCAAAAGCATAAAGAGCCATGAAGCTGAACTGGCACATTCATGCCCCTTTTCTCTCCCCGTTCCTGCAGGAAGAAGGGGTTCGGTGGCACAGCTGGAATGGCCTACGTGGGAACAGTGTGCTCCAAGAGCCACGCAGGAGGCATTAACGTGGTGAGACATCTGTAGTGACATGTGAATGTGATTGTGATAAGAGTTTTGCACTTCAGAGTCTTTTAACAACAAAGCTGAAGTGGTTACTGGGGAGTTTTATGTAGTCCTCAGCTGTTTCTGGCACTTTCCTGTTATCTTTTGCATCCTTTGCTCAGCTTTCCTTCTCAGTGTGCAGCACTCACGAATGTAGGACAGGGCTTCTCTGCTGATATAGACCGAATGACACAAGTGTCTTTTTTGGCACACAAGTAATCTCCGTACAAGCTGCCTGCTCATTTCCTTCTGCTTTACTGTTGTGCAGTTTGGAAGGATCAGTATACAGATGTTTGCATCAATTATGGCTCATGAGCTGGGACATAACCTGGGGATGAACCACGATGATGAACGCGTCTGTCACTGTGGAGCAAGCAGTTGCATCATGAACTCTGGAGCATCGTAAGTACCTGATGGAAACACCCCTCCCCATGTGCTGAGTTCTTGCAGGTTGCTTTTGACTTCAAAGTACTCTTGCAAAGAGTCACATTGTGCTTGCAGCTCATGGGGAAAGCCAATGTTACCCTTGTTCTACAGAGCAAGGGAGCACTTATGGGTTGGCTCAGTGTAGAGATAAGTGCATGTGCCCTGTTGCAGGGGATCGAGGAACTTCAGCAGCTGCAGTGCAGAAGACTTTGAGAAGCTGACTCTCAACAAAGGGGGAAGCTGCCTGCTCAACGTTCCCAAGCCTGATGAAACCTACAGTGTCCCGTACTGTGGGAACAAGCTGGTGGATGCTGGGGAGGAGTGTGATTGTGGCTCACCAAAGGTTGGTAACCTGTGCCTCCTACAGATACTGCCAGGGCTTCCCTTGCTGGAAAGGGGCTCTGTGTGGTGGAGGATGATGTTTCCTGATGCTCACTGCACTTTGCTCTCAGGAATGTGAAAGTGATCCTTGCTGTGAGCCGGGCACTTGCAGGCTCCGATCCGGTGCCGTGTGTGCTTATGGTGACTGCTGTAAGAACTGCCAGGTAAGAGGCTCAGCCGTGGTCCTGGGAAGTGCTCAGTGCTTGGGAAGAGGAGAGCATTGGCCTCACTGGGGCATCCAAGAGGGAATTGTTGTGTGGGTGCACAGCACTGAGCTAAGATTTCTGTTTTCTGATGCCGTTTCCTCTTCCTCCTTTCTCTTTAGCTCCTTCCTGGAGGAACCGAGTGTCGGGCGAGTAGCAACGAGTGTGACCTCCCAGAGTACTGCAATGGCACGTCCCAGTTCTGCCAGCCAGACTTCACTGTGCAGAACGGGCACCCCTGCCACAATGAGGAAGCTTATTGCTACAACGGGGTCTGCCAGTACTATGATGCACAGTGCCAGGATATCTTTGGCTCCAGTAAGGAAGAACACAGTGTTACAGGAGATGTAGCTAAAAGAATACACTAAGTTGATTAAACTACTTGTTTTCCTTGAAGACCAGCTAGCTTTGGCAAAGGGTTTGAAATAGTGGCATTTATGGCTTAGTCTTCATACATGATTCCTTTGTTACGTTTAACACCGTGCTGGTGATTGAAGTAGTAGTTTTCTTGCTCTAATCCCTCCTAGAGCAATGTATAGGGCTGTAAAGAAGACAAAGTACCTAAGTTTGATATTTTGGTAAAGAACTATCAAATGGTATAATTGACTCAATGTTAAGTGACTGTTTGTCTCTTGGAGCCTTGTAGTGCTGACATTTTCACCTCTTTATTGTCTTGATCAGGTTCTTAAGCTGTCTGCTGTGTGGAAATCACATGTAGCAGCATAATTACTTTGGGTAAAAGAGACATGATGATAGGAGATGTTCCTGTCCCTGTGTAACTTGGTTCCTCTCTCTGCTTGCAGAAGCCAAAGCAGCCCCCAACATCTGTTTTGCTGAAGTGAACTCCAAGGGTGACAGATTTGGCAACTGTGGTTTCCATGGTCATGACTACAAGAAATGTTCCAGCTGGTGAGTTGAGCCCAGTGCATCAACAGGTTCCTCACTGCATCACTGAGAACCCTTATTTGCGTGCTGCAGTATCAGTTTGAGGTGTTCTAGCAGGTGCACTGGGGAGAGACGTGTTACCCCATCATCTAACCTTGCAGACATGTGTGCATCGATCTGAAACCACAGTGAGAGAGCTCAGACGTGCGTTACCCTCATTTCTGAAGCTGTTATTAGCACTTCAGAGCCTCCACACTTTGGCTTTGCTCACCTCTGGTTTAAATTGTCTACCCTTGACTCTTGCACGTAGGAGTTGCAGGGAGTTTGCTCTGTTTGCTCTGTAGCTGGGTTTGAAGCTTTTGGGCTGGTGCTGTGGTTTCCCGTGTGTGTGTTCTGTAGCCTCAGGGGATCCATGCATCAGATGTGGGGCTTCACATCTCCTGTATGATTGTTCTTACCCAAAGCTGTTCATGTACAGAGAAAGGATCCCATCAGCAAGAAGGGATAAACCCATACTCCTGCAGCCCTGAAACGAGGCCCAGCTCAGTTGTGTTTGGCCTCAATGTGATTTTCAAGTAGTGTCTTCCAGTAGGAAGAAAACATCATCTCAACTGCTTGATGCTCTTCCTCTAGGCCCAGATTGAAGTGTTACTGCACTATTGCTGTGTTGATGTTGTAGGAATGCCATGTGTGGGAAGCTGCAATGTGAAAACGTGAAAACCATGCCTGTGTTTGGAATCAAGCCTGCCATTATCCAGACTCCCATTCGAGACACCACGTGCTGGGGTGTGGATTTCCAGCTAGGCTCCGACGTCCCGGACCCAGGAATGGTGAATGAAGGCACCAAATGTGGTAATGGGAAGGTAAATGAACAGTGAAAAAGGGGTTTCTTACTGTAGTCATTCAGGGGGTTTCATGTGAATGCAGTTTTCAACTGTGTTGGTTTGGGAGTATTCCTGGCCCTTAACTTCTTGATGCTTGGACTCAATGCAAAGCTGAGTGAGCCCCTCGCTTCCCAGCACTGCACTGTGTGTGCATGGGGAATGGAATGAGCAGAAATGAAGTCTGAGAGCCAAAATCTTTGCTCTGTGAGAGGGAAGAGCAAGTGCACACAAATGCCTTCAGGAGGACTTTCAATTCAAATCCGACTGCTCTGAAAAGCCTTGAGGCTTAGCCCCAGCACAGGAATGTGCATTCCACATCTCACTGAGCACAACTTAATTGCTGTTCCTTTACATTCAGGCCAGAGACAAAAGACCCCAGCGGCAGCTCAAACCCCATGCTGAGAAGCCTTTTGTAGTACAGGGCTGTTTGTGGAGTTGGGCTTTAGCAGGGAGTAGCCTGAGGCTGAGCACAGGGTGGTTGATGGAGCACGGAGAGGGGGGATGATGAGGGGCAGGTCAGTGAGATGCTGCCTTGCTTCATCTGTGCACACAGATCTGCAGACACTTCCAGTGTGTGAGTGCCTCTGTTCTCAACTACGACTGTGACGTGGAGAAGCAGTGCCATGGACATGGGGTAAGTAGAGCAGGAGCCTCTGTGCCTGTTGGAATCCACTGGTGAAGGTAAAGCCTGTGGCTTTTCCTGTTACTGACTGGGTCTCCCCATGAGGGTCTCATGTTACAAGAACACGAGGTTCTTGATCAATAGTGTCCATATCCTGGTCTTTTTTGGCCCTTGGAAGTCTTGCTGTTCTCTCTTTAAGGCTGCAACTGATGTGAGAGAAAGTAATTGTGATGATACATGCAGGGGTTCTTGAGGGTGGGTTTTGCTGTCAAAAGCTGCTTTTTGGTACTGTTCATGGCAAAAGTGCCTTTTAACAGCAAAAGTTGGACCAAACTGGGGTAAGCTGAGCCAGGTTTTAAATGGTGGATGGGAACTCGAGTGTTCTGGTTTGTTTCCCTATAAAACACTCTATAAAATGTCTCTGGGGGAGAGAACCTGTAACAGTAATGAAAAAACCCGTGACAAAAGCTCTTCAGATGGCATTTTTCTGCCAGGCAAGATTTCCCAGTTCCAGTGTTAGGAATGTGACTTGGAACTCTGCATCTCCCCAACAAAAGAACACAAAAAGGGAAAGCCAAGGTCTTTAAGCCATTGGGATGCAGCTCATCTTTGGAAGCTCATCCTGCCCAATGCAGTCATGTGCAAGCATGAGATGTCTGGCCAAGGGGCTGTGTGGGGTTGATGTGGGTTAACGTTCTCCAGCCTGAGCGCTGTGGGATGGGTAGAGCAGATGGTTGTGGTTCCTGCATGCTCTTTAACCAGGTGGAAAATGGGCTTCCTCCATAGCCTTACTGTGGTGTTTGTGCTGTTTGAATGCAGGTGTGCAATAACAACAGGAACTGTCACTGTGAACCAGGCTGGGCCCCTCCTTACTGCGACGTGAAAGGCTACGGTGGGAGCGTGGACAGTGGGCCGCCCTACAGTGGCAAGTGAAGGTCGTGGCTGCTCTGGGGCCGTGGCCCTGCCTGCTGTGGGGCTGAGCACAGGGCTCCCCACGGCTCCAGAGCGATGCCTCGGTGGTTGCCTCTTCCCTGGGTGTCACCTGCAAACGGTTCTAGTTGAGGTGGTGGGCTCAAGGGCTTGTGCTTCTGCTCTAGGATGCTGGGGGTGTGGAAAGGAACCAGGCTGGTTTCATTGCCCCTGGGTGATTTCGGACACATTGGAATCAAGGTCCTCTTGGACTTCCCTGTTTCCAAGCAGGAAATTGTAGCCCTTTCCATTCTTAGATCCAAACAAAAGTTGAGATTTCACTGGGGATATGGGTTCCAAATGCATGGCTTTGACTCTGCATCTCCATAAGGATGCGCTGCTTCTAGCAGTGGTGGCAGAGATGAGTAGCTGCCCTGTTCTGGTGCCTGCAGATGGTTGCATGTGCACTCATGTGGCAGAGGTGGGCTGGGGCAATGCTGGTTGGGAAGTCACTGTTTTACTAGTGTTTGTTATTTGAGTGCAGACAGCATGCTTACAACATGTAGTAAATACATACATAGTCCCTGCCCCAACCAGCTTAAGGTATTGAAGAGAGGTGGAGGGAAAAGACACTGTGGTGGTGCAATAACAGGCTGGAGAATCACAGTGGAGCAAGGACAGATGCCTCGAGACATCAGACAACAAAAGGGAAAGGTCTTTTAGTACAGCCTTGTTAAGAACCTGACTTCTTTGCCTATGGCAAGCAATAGTAGGAGAAGAGGAAGATTTAGGATCAGCCCAAAAGGCAGAAGTTCTCTTTCTCTCAGTTGATCTTCACAGTAATGTAGTGGAAGAAAAATGAGGTATTGATCTAGTAATTCAATGTGCTGGGCTAGCCCAGGGTAGTGGAGCATGTAGAGTTCTATCACCTCTGACCAGATGTGAGGAGATAATCAGAAACTAATACACTTGGGCATAGATCTTGCAGTGTTCTTAGAGTCTTTAGCTTTTGCTTCTATGACAAATGGGAGTTGGAGAACAAATGGGACCAAATGCAGCCGCAGCGGGCCCAGCTACGATGCTGTGTAATTCTTTATCCCTCTGTTGCTTTGTCCCCTCCCCACAAAGACTCCTCGCTGAGGAATGGGCTCCTGGTGTTTTTCTTCCTGGTCCTCCCACTCCTTGTGGCTGCTGCTCTGGCGTTTGTGAAGCGAGACAGGCTGAAGCGGTGGTGTCGAGGAGCGATGTCGCGCTGCCACGTGTACGTACATCTCCCTCTCTCCTTCTCCTCTGCCCTGTTGCAGTAGTCCGTGGGTGCTTGCTCCAGGCATGTTCCAGTCCTGGGATGTCAGGCAGAGGCCCCCACATCAAATGATGCCTGTAGTCCTGGACAGTGACAGAAGAGACAATCCATCTTAAATTGAGGGAGCAGAGAACTTTCTTTTTGCCTTTAAGTTACCCATTGGTGATGGGGTTTGTATTGTTGGGTCCCATCTTTAATAGAAGGTGGGCAAATGACTCTGTAATGGTCCTAAACAGAGAAAGGGCTATGTTGTTCATCAGATTTGCTGCAAGTATCTTCCTGACATCTGATACGTGCTGACATGGTATAAACCCATCCAGCAGGTTCACTGTGCTTGGCTTCATGGACTTCAGAGTCATTCTGTCAGGGTTACATGCTCACACACTCCACACTGGTTGGGTTTTAGGTCACGTCCATCACCACCTCCTAGGACAGAAGCTGAGCCAAGAGGGCACCAGCACCACCAAGGCTTCTCGCATGGCATGCCCTATGCACCGAGGGGTGCCCCTATGGTAGGAACAATCTCCTCTTTGTCACTTTTCCCCCCATAGGAAGTGTCTTAAATGTCCCTTAACTGATGGAACAAGTGTTTCAATTCCCTATGCGCAGGTTTGTGAATGTTCTTGTGTTTTCTTCATAGGCTATGGAGCCAAACACCTTTCCTGTCCCATCTTACCCAGTTAACCAGCACCCTCAACAGGCTTACCACCAGTCTTACTACCCACCTCTGCAGTACCAGGCCCCACAGGCACAGAAGCTGCCGACAAGGTTGGCTGAGTTATTGCACATAACTACTGCTGTTTGCACTGATGTGTATATACTGTCATTGTCTTCATCTCTGTAAGCACTGGGGTGTTTCATCACGTTCTGTACACACACAGGACTGACCTTTGATTGCAAGAAGCTTCTCCTTCATTTCACACTGTGGAGCTACAGTGCTATTACCCACAGCATTCATTTCACACCCTGTCACAGCTACATTTTGATTAACAGGATTCAGAATGCTTTTGTGGGGCCAGATGAGCCCCGTGTACAGGGGAATAAAACACCTCTCAAAATACCTGGTTTAAAAAGGGATCGCTCAGGAATCTGTCGTTCTGCTGATGGGGGAGTGTTATTGCTCAGTCCAGGATCATTGCTCAGGAACTTTGAGCAGAAAGTTTTCCTTTCCTTCTCATTTTACTTCTAAGATGTAATGCCTGTGCTGGAAACCATGCGTATCCAGAAGGGGCAGGGGATGGAGCTTGTGTTGGGGGGAAACTTGTGGGGTCTGTGGGAAGGATGCTGTGTTCAACCCTGGGTTCAGGCACTGGAAAGCAGCATCTGACCGCAGCCCGTTTGAGATGGGGCTTCAGCTGGAAGCTGAGGTTGTGGCCGTGCAGTGCAGTGCAGGCAGGGGTGAGTGATGGGGCAGTCAGTGGGGCTCACCATGGCTCCTGTGTCCTCTTGCAGGCCCCCACCTCCGCAGCAGCAGTGTGCACCTCAGGGACCGCCTCCATCACAGCACCGGTGCTTACCTCAGGGACAGTACTTCCCTTCTCGACCTGCACCTTTGCCTCCCAAATAGCTTTTGGCTTCTGTGGGGCCTTGACAAGAGCTGACCTGGTCACTGAGAGCTCAGATTGCAGTTAACCCTTCGGGCATGGAAGTGGCCCTCGAGCCTCCCCGCTGCGGCCTGGGATGAGGCGGATGAGATACAGCACCGAGGAATGTAACACTTTAAATACCTCTACCAAAGCTCCAGGGACTGACAACACCGAGCCCCCATTCCCAGCTTTGGGAATGGTGTTGGGCTGGAAGCTCGGGCACTGCTGGAGCTCAGCACTTGGGAGCTGCTTTGGGATCCCCAGGATGCGCCCGGATGCGGGAGTGGTGTGGGATGTGCAGTGAGGAGCTGAAGTGACCCCGTTACCCTGCTCAAAGCAAGGAGGATCAGGCCAGTTAACTGCAAATCACTTTGCAAGGACTGGAAGGCATTGTCCACTCACACAACGACGGCACAGGGGGTAATAAGGTGTCAGTGTACTCTTTCAGAGGAAGATAAATGTATTGTGCACATGTTTATGCATGTATATATGTGTATTGATGTGTAATAATGCACTTAAATCCTTTCATGCTGACTGACACTAAGCTGTGCTGTAGGAGCACTAAATTTAACGGTTTAAAATGAGGAATGATGAGTTGCTAAATGAGAATCCTGTACTAACGTCCACTAACACCCCCCTATTGGGGTAGTGAAAATCAAGGTACGAAAAGGCACGGCCCCATTGTGGTTGGAGGAAGTGGGGTGCTCTCAGCTTTGAAGGAGAGATCAGGTCAGGGTGATGCTGCTGTGCATGGGTCACAATGGGACCGGGGTGCCCAAACTTGCTAGAATTAAGTACTGAAAAGAGCTTGGCTTTTTCCCTTTGTGCTGGCCACTGAGTGCAAACTCGGCCTTTAAATTCCCCCTAATATTGCCAAAAATGAAACCTGTTCCTCTGTATATACATCCATGTATACAATAACAATGTGTATATAGTGTTTGCAGTAATAAAATACTTGAACTCCTGTGGTTTCCCATAAACATAGACTAAGGTTTATAACGCTATTACAATCTGTAGACCATTACCTAGGCTAGCACCGGATGGGGGTCCTCTGTTCCATGTACTCACTTCCCACTTTTCTGCTGTATCCTGCTCCCTGGGGGCTGTCTGTCCAAACCGGCTTCAGGATGGGGACAGGAGAAGGGAATCCAGGATGGACAGAGATGTATGGACTGTATCCGAAGCTGCATCCACTCCAACTGTGCTGAAAACGGTGCCTTTTAACCCATGAGGAGTTTTTATACTGGCCGCAGCATGGGGCAGGGTGATGCAAGGGCAAGGAACCGGCTCCCGTGGGATGCTGCTGCTGACTCCTGTTGTGTGCCTGTCCCCTGCGCATCCCGGTACCCAAGGGCTGCTCCCGCCCCGCGTTGTAAGCAACAAAGAGCAATAAAGACGCCGGTTTTTGTACAAGGCGCTCGCTCGTCTCCGCCTCTGCTTTCGGGGCTGGGCGGGGACGAACGGCAGCGGGGCAGCCGTTACCGATGGCGATGGGGCCGCGCCGGGCGCTGCTGCTGCTGCTGCTCCTCGTGGGGCCGCTGCGTGAGTCCGAGACCGCCCCTCCGCGGCTGATGCTGGCTCCGGGATGGGTTCAGCATCACCCGGGTCTCTCTTCCCCCCCTCCTCCAGGCTCCCAGGTCACGGTGCCGCTGCGGCTGCCCCGCAACGCGACCGAGGCACGTTGGTCTCCAGCTGCAGGGGTTGGGATGCTGCAGATGTGCTGCAGCTGGAATGGGGGGGATATACCCATCCTTGCTCCTTAATGGGGCAATGAGCTGCTTGGGCTTGCCCTGAGTGCTCCCAGGTGCCCTCAGCACAGGCTTTTCCACAGCCAGTGGTGCTAACTCCCCCTTTCTCTGCTCTCCTGCACGCCAAGGATGCAGTGTCCTACGTCCTCAGCATCGAGGGGAGGCCGTACACCATCCGCCTGCACCCGCAGTGAGTGGGCCCTGACGCCGCTGATGGCAAGGAGCTCAAGGAGGCAGGTAAGGGGTGTTATTGTAGGTGCTTCCCTTTTGATGCCTTTCTTTTGTAGTGTCTTTTTATCTGAGGATTTCAAGATCTTCGTGTCGAATGAGGTGGGAGCTGCGCTCGCTGGTTCAGTCCGGTTCAAGGTAACTTTGGGTTGCTTTGGGGATTTTGAACCATTAAGTGATGCAGCCCAGGACCGTGTCTACTATGTGTTGAGTGATGGGTGATGGGATTGTCCTCTATCCTGATGCAGGGAAGCTGCTACTACCAGGGCTACATCGATGGCTTCCCCAGCTCAGCAGTGACCCTCAGCACATGCTCAGGGCTCAGGTAAGGAAGCAGCGCATGGGTACCCAGGGATGCTGCAGCGCATCGGTACCCAGGGATGCTGCAGCGCATGGGTACCCAGGGGTGCTGCAGCGCATCGGTACCCAGGGGTGCTGCAGCGCATCGGTACCCAGGGGTGCTGCAGCACCCCGGTGTCAGCATCCGGCGCTGTCCCCTGCAGGGGCTTGCTGCAGTTCGACAACGTCAGCTACGGCATCGAGCCCCTGGGCTATTCCCCTGCGTTTGAGCACCTTGTGTACCGTGTGAGGGACGGGCAGGCCGCGGGTTCCCTCCTCACCAGCAGCCGCCCCGAGGCAGGGCACGATGGGCTGACAGCGATGGAGGCAGCGAGCAGAGCACAGGGACGGGATGAAGTGAGCTCCGAGTGCCGGTTGTTGCCGTGTCACACAAAGGGGGTCTTATCCCATGGGAAGCGTTGTTGGGTGCTGTCTGCATGGACAGGGATGGGGGGGATGTTTAGAAGCACCAGTGACCTGGCATCACCTGGGTTGTTGCCTGATGAGAAGCATCACCAAGGTAAAATGGCTTTGAAAACAGTCAGAAATGGCAAAGTTAGAACAGCTTCTGCCCTTGGGCTCGTTTGAAGGCATCAAAGAGTTGCATTTGAATGGGTACTTGAGCAGCGGGGCAAACCTTGGGCACAAGGTGATTATAGGGTGTAGGAATAAGTAGCATTAGAGGCTCTTTTGTTTTCCAGCCACTATCAGCTGCAGCACGATCTCCCAAATACCTGCAGGTGTATGTCATTTTGGACAAGGCTTTGGTAAGCCTGGGCCACTCATTGTGCCCTTGTGTTTGCCTGATTTTGAGCACAAAATGATGCCATTTCCCACCTTTTGCATGGGTTTCTTTTCCCTTTGAAAACTGTTATGTACTGTGGATTTATAGGGAAGAAAGGGTGAAATCCATGTTTTACATTTACACGATGGCATGTTGGCAATCATCGTTATAGTGGTGAATGATGCCTGCTCTTATGTGCCCTTGGGTTATCTTGCAGTATGACCACATGGGTTCGGACACGAAGGCGGCGACACAGATGGTAATCCAGGTCTTCAATCTGGTCAACAGTGTAAGTCTGAAAGCCTGTGGTAAGGTGATGGAGGGGTTGGTGTTGGTAAGGGCCACCTGAGTGCTTTGGTTTGGGGAGGAGGGTGCAGATGGCACCCAGTGGCTGACAATAGCAATGGGTGATTGAATGGGTGTGGAGAGGGACCCGAGCAGGCGGTTGCTGTGCTTGCAGGTGTTTCATGCTCTCAATGTCACCATCGTGCTGGCCTCCCTGGAGCTGTGGACACAGGGCAATAAAGTCTCGACAGTGGGGGAAGCAGAGGACCTTCTGCAGCGCTTTTTGCTATGGGCAAAGACCCACCTCGCTCTGCAGCCCTACGACACCGCTTACCTCTTGGTGTAAGAGAGAGGTTTTGGTACTCGTTAAAGGTCACTTGGTAGGGATTCTAATTCATTTATATCCTGGCAGTATTTCTCTCAAGTCCATACCTTCTAACCAGGCTTTCAGTGCTAATGTGGTGGATGTGATTGTGCCCGTGGCCCCTGGCCAGGGCATGGTGCAGCCCTGGTTTCTGGGGGCTATGGAGCATCCCAGTGGGACTCAGGCCATCCAAACCCATGACCCCCAAATTACCCCTAGTGATGGGGTCTCCCTGTGTTTCAGGTACAGGGACCAAGCAGCGTTTGTGGGCACAACAGCTCCAGGAAAAGCGTGTCAGAGGGATGCTGCCGGCATCGTGGCTGTGGTACGGTGCTGCCTGTCCCTATCAGCCCCATGTCCCTGAGCCATAGGGATGGACGGGAGCATCCGCAGCCGGAGCTGGGATCCGATGGGAAGGATGCGCAGGGAAGATGCTGCAGCCCCGCTCTCTCCTCCTCTAGTACCAGGAGGCCACAACGTTGGAGTCCTTCTCTGCCCTCCTGGCTCAGCTGCTGGGCCGCAGCCTGGGCATCGGCTATGATGAGTCCCCGCAGTGCCACTGCCCCGGGCACGTCTGCATCATGAGCCCTGAGGCGCTGTGAGTTGGTGGTTGGGTACCAGGAGGTGGGAGGATGGAGGTTTGGAGGCTGGCAATGGATGTGTTATCATATGAATGAATGATTGCTGTGCTTCAGACACTTCAGTGGGGTAAAAGCCTTCAGCACCTGCAGCATCAGGGACTTTGAGGCCTTCCTGAAGCACGGTGGAGGCGCGTGCCTGTTCAGCAGACCCCCCCTGACCGGTCCATCCTCCCAGAGAGCTGCCACCTGCGGCAATGGCATCGTGGAGCCCGGCGAGCAGTGTGACTGCGGGCCGGCCAAGGTGGGCGATCAGGGCTGGATGTGGGCATTGGTACCAGGTCTGATCCCTGGAGCTGGAGCCAGCCCAAGGTGCATTATGTGGGGTTTGAGATTGTCTCTCAAACAATGTGGGGTTTGTGATGCCCCCACAGGCCTGCTTGAAGGACAAATGCTGTACTGCAGGGTGTCAGTTCAAGCCAGGAGTGCAGTGTTCCTCTGGACCATGTTGTGATGGCTGTCAGGTAAAGCAGAGCTTTATACATTTGTTCTTGGAGAAATAGAGTGTCCCCATGATGAAGGATGGAGACAAACCTTGTGCTGTGCAGAGAGGTTCCAGCACTGGGGATGCTCTTAGGGCAGTGTGTGATCAGAGTGCCCCAGCGGGCATCGTGAGAGCAGCGGGGATGCTGTGATGGGGGTACCCCAGTGGTGCCTGTGTGTGGATGAAGGCTCCTTCCTGCCTCCTCCTCCTCAGTTCAAGCGCAAGCACTGGCAGTGCCGCCCCGCCGCCGATGAGCAGTGTGACCTGGCCGAGTTCTGCACCGGGGCCTCGGCCTCCTGCCCCCCCGACCTGTACGTGCAGGACGGGCACGGCTGCGGGCTGGGCACCGGGTACTGCTACAAGGGCCGCTGCCAGTCCCCGGACCTGCAGTGCCAGCGCATCTATGGGAAAGGTAAGGGATGCTCTGGTTGCACCGGGGCTGCCATGGCGGGGCTGGGTTTGTGCCTTTGCTCTTCAATGCACTGGAGGGGCAGTGGGTGGAGAGGGAGGCACTGGAGGAGGAAGGATGCAGCTTTAGGAGGAAGGATGCAAGCTCAGCTCTGTCTCTGGTTAAGAGGCACTTCATTAGCGCGTGGTTCTCCTGGTTCCTCAGAGGTAACAATGAAAGCAATAACATCAAATGCACGTTGTTACCTGTGAGCAGGCTTAATCAGGAACTGACCTCCTGTTTGCTAATAGCTGGGGCTGGCACTTTAGGGACAGGTACTACGTTTGCTTCAATTAGCAAAGAGCATCTCTGTTCTGCTGCAAGCAGCACGTAGCAAAGAGCATCTCTGTTCTGCTGCAAGCAGCACGTAGCAAAGAGCATCTCTGTTCTGCTGCAAGCAGCACGTAGCAAAGAGCATCTCTGTTCTGCTGTGAGCAGCACGAATAGCAAAGATGTGGTTGGACACCCAAAGACCTCCCTTTGGGTTCCTTTAAATGCGAGCGAATCCTATTGCTAAACTTGTAGGTTCAAGGAACGCTCCTGTGGCTTGTTATGAGGAACTCAACAGCCAGCAGGACAGGTTTGGCCACTGCGGGTTGCAGCCCAGCCGAGGCTTTAAGTCCTGCTCTTGGAGGTAAGCTTGGGGAAGGGCACATTTAAACAGGGCTTTCCAGCCCAAGAAAGCATCCAGGCTCCAGCTGATAGAGGACTGGCAATGCAATCAATAGGTGTGTGTCCTTGTTAGCAGGGCCACGTCTCTCCTTGGGTACCCAGTTTGCCTTCCCAGTCCCGCTCATCCTTTCTCATGCAGCTTTGCATCGCGCTGCGTAAGGTTTCTAGTGCTCCATCGGGTAGCACCACACGTGTGTGTGAGGTACACAGCCCCTGCACGTGGATTTTGTAGGGACCTGAGGTGTGGGAAGCTCATCTGCACGTACCCGTACAGAAAACCCTTCCCGACGGATGTGGCTGCCGTTGCCTACGTCCACGTGCGCGGGCGGTTGTGTGTGTCTCTGAATTACCTGCATGCAGGAGCAAGGCTGGATCCTACCCTGGTTCCACCAGGAGCAAAGTGTGGCTCTGGGAAGGTGAGAAAGGGTTTGGTAACCCCCTAAAGCGATGGGACACGGGGTGGGCGCTGTGATGGCCAAGCTGAAGCCATTGTGGTGTTTCTAGGTGTGCATAAACGACACTTGCCAGCCACGTTCGGTCCTGGGCTATGGCTGCGATAGCAAAGTGAAGTGCCACGGCCACGGCGTAAGAGGATGCGATGGTTGGCTTGGTTGATGGAAGGGGGGAAAGAAGGAAGCAGGAATGAAGGGAGAAAGAACTGAGGGCAGCGGAGCTGGGGGAGATGCAGGTGTTGGGTGGTTGGGGTGGGGTTTGCAGGAGGATGATGTGTGATGCTTGCTCAGTGTCTCAGAGTCATGATCCTGCACTTTAGAGTGTGTTCCTTGCATGATTCCCTTCCTAAATGACCTTGGAGTGCTGCTAAGTGCCCATGGCCTTGTCCCAACCATGGGGCAGAGGCTGGTGGTGGCTGGGGCAGGAGGGGCCCTGGTCCCTTGCATGGCTTCATCGCTCAGCACCCATCCCCTGGCTTTCCAGGTGTGCAACAACAAGGGGCAGTGCCACTGCCACCCCGGCTGGAAGCCCCCGGATTGCCTGCAGAGGGGATCCCGCCTTGGGGGCAGCACCGACAGCGGCCTCCCGCTGCCCGATGGGGGTCAGTACCGAGGGGAGGTGATGGGCGCTGGGACGGGGTGCAGGAGGAGAGCGCTGGTCCCATTCTGCTGCCCCAGCAGGTCTGTCCCTGGCGCGGGCGATGGAGGATGTGGCAACGGCGTGGCCGGTGCTGGGCTCCTGCCTGCTCCTGCTCCTCCTGGCCGGGGCCATCTGCCTCCTGATCCGGTGGTGGGCGCTGGGCTTGTGCGGAGCACGGCCCCCGAGCACCAATAGGTGAGATGCCAGGAGGGGATGGGGCATGGAGCTCCCTGGGGGGGGGTGAGGGGATCCCTGGGGCTGGGGGATTCCCTCCGGAGCTGTGGATAGGAGGAGGTTCCCCTGGGGCTGAGGGGACCCGGGGATGGGGAGACCCCAGGGATGAAGGGATTGGGGATGGAGACACCCCAGGGATGAAGGGATCGGGGATGGGGAGACCCCAGGGATGAAGGGATTGGGGATGGGGAGACCCCAGTGATGAAGGGGTGCAGGGCTGAGGGGATCCAGGGACTTGGAGACCCCAGGGATGAAGGGATCTGGGCCTGAGTGGACCCGGGCATGGGGAGACCCCATGGACGAAGGGCTCCGTAGCTGAGGCGCTGCCCCGCACCTCCCAGCAGCGCCGTCACCGCGGAGAGCAGCGAGGTCTCGGAGTGGAGCTCGGTGACGGGGCTGGACACGGACCCAGACACGGACGCGGACACGGAGCCAGAGCCGAGCGCGGGGTCCAGCCGCGGGCGTTAATAAAGGCGTTGGGTGGAGCCGCGCGTCCGCGCTGTGCGCGGGGCGGGGGGGGGGGACGGACCCTGCGGGGCCGTTACCGGCAGCCGGGGCGCGATGGGCGCCGCGGTGGTGACCGCGCTGCGTGAGTGAGAGCCCCGCGTCCCTGCCCGCGTCCCTGCCCTCATCCCTGCCCGCATCCCTGCCCACATCCCTCCCTGCATCCCTGCCCACATCCCTACCCACATCCCTGCCCTCATCCCTGCCCACATCCCTGCCCTCATCCCTGCCCACATCCCTCCCTGCATCCCTACCCGCATCCCTACCCGCATCCCTGCCCGCATCCCTGCCCGCATCCCTGCCCGGGATGGGTTCGTGCTCCCATCGCGGTGCCGAACGAGGATGGGTTTGATCCCTGCTCATTGACAAGCGTTGAACCCCTTGTGCTGGTCATGTGGCAGAGCTGCATGGGGATGGTGACACCGGGGATGGAGCTGGCAGCGTGGTCCCTTCCCAATGGGACGTTCCTTGAGTGGCTGTGGATGGGAGGGGGTGATTGGCATCTCTGCATCCCATTTCGTTTCCTGGTGCGAGGTGGGTTTGTTCAGCTGGGCTTGGTCTCATCCGGGCTCTGATCCAGCACTAGGCACGCACAGAGCTTTGTTTTACCCATGCAAGTGCCTAGATACCGCAGGGTACAGTGTGGCTGGATGATAGCAGGGTAGAAACTAGAGTTGGAAGAACCTCTGCAGGTAGCAACCGCATCTGTCCACGGGCTATAAGGGTGCCTGTACAGGTATATGCAGTCCTGACATGGTGGTAACCATCTGGGATTGTAACTAGGAAAACCAATGCTTTCCCTAGGGTCCCAAATGCTGCTGCACATCACGGTTCCCCAGAAGCTGCTCTCAGAAAGAGCTGGAGAGACGGTACTGAAGCAATCATAGAATGGGTTGGGTTGGAAAGGACCTTAACATCATCCAGTTCCAACCCCCTGCCATGGGCAGGGACACCTCACACTAAACCATGGCACACGAGGCCACATCCAACCTGGCCTTGAGCACTGCCAGGGATGGAGCATTCACAACCTCCCTGGGCAACCCATTCCAGTGCCTCACCACCCTCACAGGAAAGAATTTCCTCCTTATATCCAATCTAAACTTCCCATGTTTCAGTTTGAACCCATCACCCCTTGTCCTATCACTACAGTCCCTAATGAAGAGTCCATCCCCAGCATCCCTATAGCTCCAAGTTCCTTGGAGCTCTCGTGCTCACCCCTTGGGTTTGCAGCTGCCCTCAGTGCCTTTCCACAGCCAATTCTCCCTTTCTCTGCTCTCCTGCACACCAAGGATGCCGTGTCCTACATCCTCAAGATAGAGGGGAGGCCGTACACCATCCACCTGCAGCCACAGTGAGTTGGTCCTGATGCTGCCTCATCCAGCCACTGCTGCTCCAGCAGGGTCTGGCTGTGCCAGGGCATCCATCACCTACAGCTACGGGACCCTCAATGACCTCTATGAGCTCTGGATCAGAGCATCACAGAGCGTTTTCAGAGGGTTTCATTGCTTTTCTGCTCTAGATTCTTTCTATCGGATGATTTCAGGATTTACACGTACAATGAGCAGGGATCTCTGCGCTCCGCCTCGCCCCCTATCAAGGTACCAACAGCTCAGTGCTGCTGTTATTGCCCTTCTCCACATTTTTGCTTCCTAAGCACAGCATGAGGACAAACCAAGTTTTCCTTGCATGGTCAGATTCATGTTTGGGAAGGGTTTTGGAGGCACTGAGATTGTTTGGTTTAAAGGTGATGATTCTGGCCATGGCCACTGTTCCTTGTGGGGGGGACCATGAGAAGAGCCAGCATCGGGCCTTATTGTGTGGGTGCCACATCCCCACATTAGGATTTCTCCTTAATTCCTTGAGAGGTTGTCCATGCAACCCTTGATGGGGCTGCCTTTCAGAAGGGGCTCCTTGTGCTCTATCCTGATGCAGGGAAGCTGCTACTACCGGGGCTACATCGACGGCTTCCCCAGCTCAGCAGTGACCCTCAGCACGTGCTCAGGGCTCAGGTAAGGGAGCAGCGCATGGGTACCCAGGGATGCTGCAGCGCATGGGTACCCAGGGATGCTGCAGCGCATGGGTACCCAGGGATGCTGCAGCGCATCGGTACCCAGGGATGCTGCAGCGCATGGGTACCCAGGGATGCTGCAGCGCATGGGTACCCAGGGATGCTGCAGCGCATGGATACCCAGGGATGCTGCAGCGCATTGGTACCCAGGGATGCTGCAGTGCATTGGTACCCAGGGATGCTGCAGCACCCCGATGTCAGCATCCAGCGCTGTCCCCTGCAGGGGCTTGCTGCAGTTCGACAACGTCAGCTACGGCATCGAGCCCCTGGGCTATTCCCCTGCGTTCGAGCACCTTGTGTACCGCGTGAGGGACGGGCAGGCCGCGGGTTCCCTCCTCACCAGCAGCCGCCCCGAGGCAGGGCCCGATGGGCTGACAGCGATGGAGGCAGCAAGCAGAGCACAGGGATGGGATGAAGTGAGCTCCGAGTGTTGGTTGTCGCCGTGCTGCTGCTGTCCCCATCACACAAAGGGGGTCTTATCCCGTGGGAAGCGTTGTTGGGTGCTGTCGGCATGGACAGGGATGCTTGTTGTGTGGGTCATTCCCCATCTAGTGCCTAATGAGAGGTGTCCCCAAGGGCCACAAGGTTTGATGATGGGTTTGGAAAAGGGGAGTATTTCTCCCTCTGGTTTGCAGATGGTTGGCAGCGATGTGCTGGCTGCTTCAGCCATGGGATTCATGTGAGCATCCCAGGGCTCACCTTAACCCAGAGCCAATGCCATGAGCAAAAGCCTTCAGTCTTGTCCCAAGTGTTAGTGCAAGGCTTTTGCTTTCTGTCCTAACAATAGCATCAGCAGATGGCAGTGCCTTGGGGAGGGTTTAGTGTCTCAGATGAGCCAGCATTCCTTATGCCTCGTGACTGAGCCGGTGCAATGAATGATTAACAGTGAAGAACCCTGTTTTCCAGCTCGGGCACGAGAGGAAGATCGCGCTGCACCTCATTTTGGAGAGGGCTTTGGTAAGTGTGGGTCACTTGGTTCCTGTCCTCTGTTTCCATTCTTCCCCTGGATCAGTGCTACATCACTGTGGTTGTCCCCATGGTCCTGCCCAGCACGTTTCAGTGTGCAGAAACCCCTCTGAGAATGACTGTGATACCCCACGTGCTTCTGCATGGTAAATAACCTACAACCAACCTCATGTCCTGTTTCAGTACGACTACCTGGGTGCAGATGACTACGTTGTGGTCCAGAAGATGGTTCAGGTCGCCAGCCTGCTCAGCATTGTGAGTTTTGTGTGATTTGGATGTACTGAGATGGAGAATGAGATGGTTCATTTCAGCACACTGATACCCATCACACTGATGGGTAGGATTGGACCGATTTTGGAGAAGATAACAACTAAAAGTGCTTTCTGATGGTACCAACTCTCAGCTTTTGACTCTTTGGGTTAGGCTGGCAGAGCTTCAGGTTTGCCTAGGACTCATCCAGGCTGTGGAGGGGCTTTTGCCCCCCTTACTGGTGCTGTAAACCAGTGCTGCTCTGCAGTCCATCAGTGCCTGATCCTCAACCCCCTACATCAAACACTGTCCCATGGTACGTGCTCCCCAAGGGGTATTGATGCTCATAGGCAGGAGCCGGCAGCCTCCGCTGCTCCTTTCCATCTGCCTCTTAGGGAGTGATTGGGGCTTTTCCCTGTGTGTGTAATCACAGCATAGGCATCTATGCGAGCGTTTGGCTTGAAATCCAAGGGGCTAGAGTGTCTCCTCCTGGAAACAGGCAAAAATGCAGACAAGAAGCACTTTGTGTATTCAATACCTCTGCTCAAGCCCAGGTTGTCTGTATTAGATCCCACTCACTGAACTGAATTTGGGGGTTCCCTTTCGGACACGCTTCCATGTCCATTTCCTGCACCATTCCCATCACACACACAGAGCAGCAGAGCAGTTGCCAGCTGCTCCATTTGTTTGCCTGAAGGAGCAACCATTCAAGCAGCGCCTGAAACGGAGCATATGGGAAGCAGCCACTTCTCTCATTGACCTTTCAGGTGTTCAGGTCTCTCAACCTAACGGTCACACTGTCCTCCGTGGAGGTCTGGATGGATAGCAGCATGCTGAAGACAACAGGGAATGCAGAAGCAGTGCTGATGCAGCTCATGCAGTGGAAGAAGAGCAGCCACGTCCTGCAGCCCCCTGAAGTGCCCTATCTGCTGCTGTAAGAACCTGTTGTCATTAAGGGCAGATAGCGACCTGCTGAACGCCCGTGCTTGTGAAGGGCAGACATTGCTTTGATGGGATGCCTCTTGTATAAGCTAAGAGGCTTTGCAAGCATAAAGCCTGGCAGGACCATTGGCTCTGCCTGTGGATGCGCCTGTGTTTCAGGTACAGGGACCAAGCAGCTTTTGTGGGCACAACAGCTCCAGGAAAAGCGTGTCAGAGGGATGCTGCCGGCATCGTGGCTGTGGTACGGTGCTGCCTGTCCCTATCTGCCCCATGTCCCTGAGCCATAGGGATGGACGGGAGCATCCGCAGCCGGAGCTGGGATCCGATGGGAAGGATGCGCAGGGAAGATGCTGCAGCCCCGCTCTCTCTTCTAGTTCCAGAAGGGTGTAACACTGGAGTCCTTCGCTGCCCTCCTGGCTCAGCTGCTGGGCCGCAGCCTGGGTATCAGCTATGATGAGTCCCCGCAGTGCCGCTGCCCCGGGCACGTCTGCATCATGAGCCCCGAGGCGCTGTGAGTTGGTGGCTGGGGATGCTCCCATCATAGGTGTCCTGGGTGTGCTGTGCTTGGGCAAGACCCATCCCTGCTCTGAGTTTGACAAGAGAACCGAAAGACACCCAGGGTACCCAGGGTACCACTGCGCCTTCTGCCCGCATCCGAGCTGCACAGAGCTCCGGAGCACGCGAGCAGGGTGGATGTGTTAACACACAGATGGATAACTTCCTTTTAGGAGTTTCAATGGGGCAAAAGCCTTCAGCAGCTGCAGCATCAGGGACTTTGAGACCTTCCTGAAGCAGAACAGGGACTGCCCCATCATGAGGCAAGCTCAGCCCCAGCCTTCCCACCATAAGGGCTCATGCGGCAACGGCGTGGTGGAGGCTGGCGAGCAGTGCGACTGTGGGTCGATGGAGGTGGGTGCTGAGAGCGGGTGTAAACTGGGCTCAGGGGGTGGAGAAAGCATTTCTAGGGTAAGGCACACAAGGGCAGCGTTCCTGCTGATCCCTTGGCCCCACTGAGGGAACTGTGGGGTCAGGGGAAGCGGTCACCCAGCCCATAGGGAAATCCGCAGCGGATAAGGATCCCTGATGTGTTTGCAGGACTGTGCCTCAGACAAATGCTGTACTCCCCAGTGTCTCCTCAAGCCAGGAGTGCAGTGCTCCTCGGGATTATGCTGTCAGAATTGCCAGGTGAGTTGTGCCCAGCGTTATCAGAAGTTAATCCCATATTTCAACCTTGGAGCAAGTGGGCTCTATAGGAGCGCTGTCAACCAGCCCTCTGGTTTTGCTTGGATGGGTATGTCCAAAAACCTTAATGATATTTGTGCTGCATTTTGTCTCTTTTGGATCATGTTGTGATGGCTGTCAGGTAAAGCAGAGCTTTATTCATTCTTGGAGAAATAGAGTGTCCCCATGATGAAGGATGGAGACAAACCTTGTGCTGTGCAGAGAGGTTCCAGCACTGGGGATGCTCTTAGGGCAGTGTGTGACCAGAGGGCATCCTGAGAGCAGCGGGGATGCTGTGATGGGGGTACCCCAGTGGTGCCTGTGTGCGGATGAAGGCTCCTTCCTGCCTCCTCCTCCTCAGTTCAAGCGCAAGCACTGGCAGTGCCGCCCCGCCGCCGATGAGCAGTGTGACCTGGCCGAGTTCTGCACCGGGGCCTCGGCCTCCTGCCCCCCCGACCTGTACGTGCAGGACGGGCACGGCTGCGGGCAGGGCACCGGGTACTGCTACAAGGGCCGCTGCCAGTCCCCGGACCTGCAGTGCCAGCGCATCTATGGGAAAGGTAAGGGATGCTCTGGCATCACTGGTGCTAACAGTGAGCTCCAGGGGTGGTCCAGGGGGGAAGGATCCAAGGGGGATGGATGCACATGCTCTCTCTTGCGTGAAATAAGGGAATCTGGGGTGTGTGGTGTAGGGAAGAGTGGGGGGGACCATGGGAAAGGAATGGGCCATCCAAAGGGGGGGTTTCAGGCTGAACGTGGATGCAACAGAGCTGTCCTGGTCTATACTCAGCTTTACTTCTACCCTTTCAGGTGCCAAGAATGCTCCTTTGGCCTGTTATGAAGAAGTCAACAGCCATCAGGACAGGTTTGGGCACTGTGGCAACCACCCGATGGATGGCTACCAGCCCTGCTCCTGGCCGTAGGTTGCGAGGGGATGCAGGGTGTTGAACTGGGGGCATTCAGCTAATCCGTGCTTCCTTTTACTGCCCATGCAAAGCAATAACCTGGGAGGAGGTTGCCTTCAGGTGTTTTTGCAGTGTTAGCTCTGGGTGTTCCATAGGGAAACGATGGTGGAGAGAAACCAGAGGCAAGTGCAGTGCAGACCTAATGGTGCTGCAGTTAATGCTCTGGTCCACATGACGGCTCTTCCTTTGCTGTCACAGATTCAACTCTTGTGGAGCATCACATCCATGTGGTTTTATGTTGTGTAATTCCCCCTCCCCGCTCTGTGCACCTCAACATTCCCAGCACTGGGATCAATCGGATGCTGTGCCCTGATTCATTGTGCTGATTGTCTTAGGAATCTGGGATGTGGGAAGTTGGTGTGCGTGTACCCCAATCGCCTTCCCTTCACAAAGATGAAGGGGGCCATCATTTATGCTCATGTGCAAGAGCATCTCTGCGTGTCTTTTGACTTCATGAACGGACCCACAAAGTTTGATCCTCTCATGGTGAAGGAAGGAACAAAATGTGGTCCTGGAAAGGTGAGAAATCCTATGGGATCACCTGGAAATGGCACAGGAGTAGTGGTAGAAATAGCTTCATTTCACAGTGTGAGTTAAAGGGGCTCTTTCAGTAGTCACTGCCTGTGCTGTTGCCCTTTGGTCATACTTTAGGGCTCAGAATGCTTCTTAGATTGATGGCAAACAATGGTGAAAGGATGTAAAAGCGCCCAGCAGGGTTCTTCTCCTTTTGGTCCTGCAGGTTTGTTTGAATGGCACTTGCCAGCCACATTCAGTGCTGAAATACGACTGCAACGTGCAGGAGAAATGCCACGGGCACGGGGTAAGTCACAGCAGCACCGTTACCTTGATGGGGTTGAATTGATGCTGCTGAAGAGGAATGAGTGGTTCTGGTAAAACGGCCCCTTGTGAATGGGCCAGAGGTGTGTTTTGGGTTGCTGTGGGAGAAATGGAGTGAGATTGCCCCAATTCCTTTGCATCCCAAGTGAAAAACAAAGGGGGTAAAGGAGTGTGGAGTCTTTGCTTGTCTAGATTAATGGAAAACTGGGAGGGGAGGGGGAAAGCAAGAGTATTTACTGGGGATTTAATGGCACATCATGGAAATGGTGATGGAAAGGATGAGCGTAGCTGTGCAGGGCAGGGTGCTGTGTCCGGAGCAGGATGCATGGATGAGTGAATCAGGCTCCTCAGGCTGTACAAGGAGGGATGCTTTCTGCCCACCCTGGTGCATGCAGGTGTGCAACAACAACAGGAACTGCCACTGCCATCGGGGCTGGAGCCCGCCCGACTGCGAGACCACAGGACCCTTTGTTGGTGGCAGCATTGAGAACCCATGGGAGGCCGGTGGGTACCCCATGGGTGCAACAGCAGCTCCTATGACCCCACAAACTGTGGAGCTGAGCCCATGGCATCACCCAGAGCTGCACCTTTGCTTTGCTCCCCAGTTGGAAGTGTCCAAAGCTCTGCCCCCCTGATACACGGGCTGCTGCTGGGCTTCGGCGTCCTCCTCTCCCTCCTCTGCAGCATCACTGTGTTTGTGAGGTGGAGGCGGTAGAACGGGTTCTTTACAAGGAGGTGGTCGCGAACCCAGGGGTGAGTTGGTGGTGAAGCAAAACAAAACTTCCCGATGTCAAGGGGGCCTCCGTGTGGGGGAGCCAGGGAAACAGAGCTTTCCAGTTGGGAATTCCCGGGGGAAAGGAGAAAGTGAAGGAGGAGCTGCAGTCCCCAGGGAAAAGGGAGAGCCGGGGGGGCTCGCACGTGTGATGGGGAAGGGGAAAGGGACAGGGAGCAGCGCTGAGGCCGGGTGTTCCCGCAGCCCCGACGGCGGCCGGGACACGGACACGAAGACGGAGTCGAGCACGGACGTGGAGGAGAGCGCGGAGCCGGAGCCGGAGCCGGAGCCGGGCGGGGCCGCAGGGGCAGGCGCGGGCCCCCCCGCAGTCGTTAATAAAGGCGTTGGGCTCAGCCGCGTGTCCGCGCTGTGTGCGGGGGGGGGCAGCGGGGCCGTTACCGGCCATAGGGGCGATGCGGGCAGCGCCGGGGCTGGGGCTATGGGTATGGGTATGGGTATGGCTATGGCTATGGCTGGGATTCGGGCCGGGGTCGGTGGCAGCGGGAGGTGCCCCGCAGGTAGGTGCGGAGCCCCCGGCCCCGCCGCTCTTCGTCCCCCTCCCCTTACTCCCGTTGGCCCCGCTGGTCCCTAACGCTGCTCTCATCGCGGGCAGCGCGCCCGGAGCTTCATCATCCCCATCGAGGGCACCCTGCGCACCGTGCGGCTGCGGCAGCAGTGAGTGGGGCAGAGCGGGACCCGCACCCTCCCTAACACCCACACCCACACACACACACATACACCCCCATCCATGGGCCTTGGGGAGGGCTCTGTCCCGCACGGTGCCTGCTGCAGGGGCCGCATCTCTGTTGTGTGCACAGAGCGTTTCTGACGGAGGATTTCCACGTCTACAGCGATGGCCACGGAGAACCCGAGCCGGCACCCGTGGAGGTGACAGAGGTACCCTGTGCTCTGTGCACCCCCGTGCCTCTGAATGGGGTGGCTGCAGGAGAGGGGCTTCCCCTGCTCTGCCCCAACACGGTGCCATAGAATCACGCAATGGTTTGGGTTGGAAGAGACCTCAAAGCTCACCCAGTTCCAACCCTCCCGCTAGAGCAGCTTGCTCCCAGCCCCATCCAGCCTGGCCTTGAGCACTGCCAGGGATGGGGCAGCCCGTTCCCAGGGAGCACAGGTAACAGTGCCAGCGGTGCTCATGGTTGGTGCCGTGTGGCTGGGGAAGGTGGGTTCCCAGAGGTGTTGTGCTTCTCCCTGTCGTGCATCCTTTCCCTATGGGATCAGGGAGCGTGGCGCTACCCAGGTCTCAGTGGAGAGGGCACTGAGCCATTGATGTGGCTTCGCTGCTTCCAGCGGGATTGCTTCTATGAAGGCGACATCAAGGGTTTCCCTATTTCCCTTGTGGCACTCAGCACCTGCTCCGGCCTCAGGTAAAGCCATTGCTGTTCCATAGGGATGTTGATGTCATCACTCAGTGGTGGCAGAGCCATTCCTGCCACTCTGCTCCTTTGCTTCCCAGCGGGATCCTGCAGCTCGCCAATGCCAGCTACGGGATCAAGCCTCTGGAAGCTGCAGCCAGGAATCAGCATCTCTTGTACCCGGTGTGGAATGAAAATGCAGAGGCTCATCTGTTAGCAGAGAAGAGTTCCCTTGTCTGGCCTAAGGAGGTGCCACCGGAGCCAGAGGATGCAGTAGCGGTGAGTGGGATGTTGCTGTGGGCATGGGAAACGTGCAGTTGAAGGATGCTCTTTGTGCTGTAATGTGTTGTTTCTGAGTGTATTCAGTGCAGCAGATGCTAAAGGGCTTTGTAACTTACCCGTGCTAAGGATGAGGCCTCCACTTGTGCTGGGAGGGAGCTGTGAGGGTGGCCCGATGCTGAGTGAGCAGACTGGAGGTTTATTTGCATCCAGTGGTTTTGTGGCACCAGGAGGGCATGGGGCTGCAGGGATACAGAGTGGTTGGGAATAAGGAATCCCTGCTTGCCTCTGCTCTGCTCTGCTGTGGGTGCCCTTCTTCAGCCTTTCCAAGATGCTCCTTTGTTGTAAGCACTGATGGAATCTGGTTGAGGGTATCATGTTGTGCATGATGGAAACTGCACCTTGGGATGCTCAGGGCTGTTTGACCGCTCCAATTGGTTCTGCAGTGCAGGAGCTGACCATGGACTATGAACCGCAGCAGCTCTGCACTAACACGTGCAATGGGGGATGTTGTGTGTGTTTTGCTTTGTTATTTGGTCTTCCTATAGGATAAGGAAGCTGTCAGCAGACCCCCTCTGTACCTGGAAATGCATGTCATTTTGGACAAGGCTCTGGTAAGCATCTAGAGCTACCTCCCTTGGGATGACCACAGGGAGCACAGTACCCTGATGTGCTCTTATGTTTGCCACCTTTCAGTATGACTACATGGGGGCAGACAAGGACATTGTGGTGGCCAAGATAGTGCAGCTTTTCAGCTATGTGAACAGTGTAAGCTGCTTTCGGTCGCATCCTGAGCATGTATGGGATGTGTGGGTGATGATAAGGCTCCATACGTAGAGCAAGCTGGATGCTGTGGCTCAGCAGGGCTCTGTGGACCAGCCGTGGTGTCTGTCTGCCTCCTTCCAGATGTTTGCTCCCCTCAATCTGACCATGGTGCTGTCTTCCCTGGAGTTCTGGGTTGAAAGGAACAGGATCCCAACCACAGGGGATGCCGAGGAGCTGCTGCAGAGCTTTCTGCAGTGGAAAAACGAGCATCGCATGTCGTGGCTGCAGGATGTAATGTTCCTATTTGTGTAAGATAAGGGTGGCTGTGGGAGCGTGGGTCGAAAGGGGAGGAAGATGCCGTTACACCATGCGTCAGACTGACTCTGGTCTGTTCCCCAGTTACAGGGAGCAGTCCCGTTATGTGGGTGCATCTTCTGCAAGGAAGCTGTGCCTCAAACCCCACGCTGGAGGCGTTGCCTTGGTACGGTACCTCTGTCTGTCTGCCCCATCACCTCCCATCCCTATAGGGGATGTGATGGTGCCGCAGCATCCAAGCCCTGGCTGAGGACCCCGCTCCGGGTGGGAGCAGAGCTGTGCAGCCAGGCCACAGGACCCCTCACACCTTCCCACCCCACAGCGCTGTGGGGCTGAGCCCGGTCCCTGTCCCCGCAGTACCGCAGGGCTATGACACTGGAGGCGTTCGCAGTCGCCGTGGCCCAGCTGCTGGGGCTCAGCTTGGGGATGGAGCTGGAGGAGCCTGGGAGCTGTCAATGCGCAGGAGCCGCCTGCATCATGCAGCCCAACTCAGTGTAAGGCTGCCCCTGGGCACGCAGGGGGGGTTGGTGTGGTACCCGAGTGATGCCACCCATGAGGGCAGAGCAGGGGGTGCATCCATGAGCAGGGGCAGAGGGCATGGGTTGCCCCTGTGTTACTGATGTCTTCTCAGAGCAGGGTACCACAGCCCTGTCCCCACCTGCAGGCACTTGCCTGGTGTGAAAGCCTTCAGCACCTGCAGCATAAGAGACTTCCAGCGTTTCCTTGCCACTGGGGAAGGGCAGTGCCTGATGAAGAGGCCAGCCATGGATGTGGCCTATAAAGCTCCCAAATGTGGGAACAAAGTGGTGGAGCCGGGAGAGGCTTGCGACTGCGGTACAGCAGAGGTGAGCTGCGGAGCATTGGTACAGCGGGGCAGAGCCAAGGCATGTGGGAATTGCTCCTGCATCCTCCAGTCCTCTCTGCAGGCTTTATGAGACCCTGAAGCCATGCAGACACTTGGCTGTCATAGAGGACTTGTGTGGTGTTGGTGATGGATGGATGGATGGATGGATGGATGGATGGATGGATGGATGGATGATGGATGGATGGATGGATGGATGGATGGATGGAGCCTGTAGGTGTTGTGTGGATGGACAATGCGGACTTGCTATGGGAGCATGGGTGGCTGGTGGCAGCCAGCATGGCCTGTGGACCCTGGGTACCACCATCCACAGCAGAGCCTGGGAGATGGGAAAGGCCAAGCTTAATCCCTTATCCCTGGGAGGAGCAGAACCTTTCCTAACTGTCCCCACCGGTCACCTCCAGGAATGCAGGCGTGACCCATGCTGCACCATTGGCTGCAAGCTGAGGCGAGGGGTGCAGTGCCTGACGGGACCCTGCTGCCAGAAGTGCCGGGTGAGCAGTGTGATGGGATGGGAACACTGCATTCCTATGGGATACCGCCTGCACCAGCATCGCTTGCTGGTATATCCCCCTGGGTTGGCCATCCCAGCCAGCTGACTGTTGTGGTTCTCCTCTCATCCCTCTTCTTTAGTTTAGGAGGAAAGGCGCAGTTTGTAGGCGCAGCTCCGAGGATGAGTGTGAATTGAAGGAATATTGCAACGGCACCTCTGCGCAGTGCTCACCCGACCTCTGGGTCATGGACGGGCATCCCTGCAGCAGGAATACCGCCTTCTGCTACCGGGGCCTCTGCCAGACAGCCGACAAGCAGTGTCAGAGCATCTTCGGCTCAGGTAAGGGTGATGGATTCCGGGAGGGGGAAACCCCGGCACCCCAACCTATGTGTGTGTATGAAATGGGGTGGGTGATGTGGAGCAAAGGGAGGAAACGTGTTGGACTGAGTGCCCATCAGTGTGCTGTCTGGGCATGGGGTAGTTTGGGGTGTTTATAAGGTGTCAGTGAGAGCAGAGACCTCATGGGAGTTGATCCAAGCTGGAGCATCCCACCATGGCGGGTTGGAGGGACCAGGCTGGGTCTGACGCCGATGGCCATGGGCATCACTGAGGAGCAGGGTGGCCTGTGGAGATGCTCATTCCCAAGGTGGAGAGAGGCTGTGGGATAGACACTGAGCATCGTTCTGTGTTTGCAGTGGCCAAGAATGGGCCCTTGGCTTGCTATGAAGAAATTAACAGCCAGATGGACAGAATGGGGCACTGCGGCTCCAACCAACGCGGTTACCAGCGGTGTGCATGGAAGTAAGTGCTGCAGCGGGGTCTGCCATGGAGCGGGAGAGGTGGGACCCCAAAACGTGCAGGGGAAACGCAGCTGAGCACTGAATGAGTCCATGTGGAGCTGGGAGGGGATATGCTTCCCAGGCCTGTGTGAAGGTAAGGGTGCCATGTCCATGTGCTAGGAACAGGGTGCTTGGGGTCCATGCTCCCGGTGATGATGGCAACAGAGCTGCGATGGAAGGCTGAAGGTGGCTGTGGCCAAGTGCTTTGCTTGTGCTGCCCTTGCAGGGATCTCCGATGTGGGAAGCTTGTGTGTGAATATTCGAGCTCCAGGCCCTTCACCACGGAGAAGGCTGCGGTGATGTACGCTCTGGTGCAGAACAAGCTGTGTGTAACGCTTGACTACATGAAGCCTCCCATGGAGAGGGACCCCATGCTGGTGAATGATGGCACTGTCTGTGGTGATGGCAAGGTAAGCGATGCCCTGATGGTAGCAGCTCCTTTGGGAGAGGAAGG